TACCGTATCCCCCACTTTGAAGTGCTTTTTCATAAACTTACTTTTCTTTATCACTTTAGGGAATAATATTTTTCGAACTAATGCTTCATTTGCAGATGTTACTTCATTGGGAGTGTGCTTTATGGATCTATGTTTACTCTCATTGTATCCGTTTAATAGATCTTGTAGAACATCGATCCAACGGTGAGTACCCTTAGACGTAAAATACTTAAACATTCGCGTTTTTAATGTTCTATTGAACCGCTCAACTATTGCCCCTTTTTTATCACTATAAACACTGTAGTGTTTTATACGTAAATCTTTTAATAAACGCAAAAATTTCTTGTTGTAAAACTCTGTTCCTTGATCAAACTGCATTTTTTGTGGAGTGTTCTGACGTAAGAACGGTTCCATAACAGCTACAACAGAATTTGCTGTCTTATTTTTCATTTTAAGAGCCCATGCTTTTTTGCTAAATGTATCGATTATAGTAACAATCCACTTGTAACCATCGTTGTGTTGATGTAAACTCGAGAGGTCAACTAAATCACACTGATACAAGTATCCAATTCCCTTGGTCCAAATTCTGCGATATAAACCAGGTTTCTTATCGGGTTTGTGTAGTGTGTAGCTGTCAATTGCTCTTAAACTTTTTGTTACAGTTCTAGGACTTACTAAATGGCCTTTATTTCTAAGCTGTTTGTAGAAGCGATTCTTTCCAGTAAAGGACCCTGGAAAGGTAGGGTCTTCATACAAGTCTTTCAAATTCATTTCTGTTTTACATGATATATTTCTTGTCTATAAATACCCAGAGTTCACTGTAATTTTAAAAATGAGTTTACAATGTGATAAGTGTGGGAAATCTTACCCAACAAACGCTACATTGTATCAACACAAAAGCCTTGCTCATCCAGAACCGAAACTCATGTTGGTTAACCACTCACATGGTTCATCATCTTCGAGTAAACGATCTAGAGGATATAACACATCTCACCCAGATGCTAAAAAACGTGATTTAGCACCAGTAACTAAACATAATCATCCTAAAGAGAAACCTAGAGACTATGAAATCAAAACTTATCCTACTCCACAAACATACGATGGACAAGCTGACGATAATCTGAAAATTGTCGATAGTTTTGATGATGATGGACAAGGAGATAAAGGACTTCAGGTAGTTGACAGCTATGACAATGATGGACAATCTGATGATGGTCTAACAGTGGTTGATAGTATTGATAGTATTGACTACAAGAAATTGTATGAAGAGTGTTTAGCTTCTAAAAAGCAATTTGAAAACATATGTCAAAAGAAGATCACAGATTTAAAAAAGAAGCACGAAGAAAGAATAGATTCTCTAAAAGAGAATTATAGAGATAAATTGCGTGACTTTGGTAATGAAATGAAGGCTGAATACGATGAAAGAGTTGGTAAGATACGAGAGTCGCATGTCAAAGCTACTAAAGATTTGAATGATGCACATGAAAAGGCAATGGATGATTTCGAACGAGAATGCAAAAGAAAAATAAAACTTCTCTCAGAACAACTTCAAGCTGTGAAAGATGATGACGAAGATTTGAGTAGTCTCACAAAAGCGATATTTAATTGCACAACAATGGAGGAAATTTTTCAAATTCAAAAATTAATCAATAACCATCAGATTGATGAATTAATTCAAAATCATTTACCGACACTGCAGAATCTACTACTTAGCTTGTCATTTGGTATTCTACCAATTTGTCAACCACAGCGAGATCAGGTAACAAATGAACAACGACGTGTGGTGGAGCAGCTACAAACGGCCTCACCATCAAATGCAAAAAATATTCTTAGAAATAAGCGGGGTGATGTTATTAACCTCTTCACAATTATCAAGGACTCTATCAAGTTAGCCAGAGATACCTATAACAGATACAATGCTTCTAATTAGGCTATATAAAGCATGTGTCACAAACTATATTGAAAACCAGGAAAAATGAATCTCCAAGTAGTTTTCCATTTCATCTCAACCCTTACTTTTGTATTCAAGTTTCCTGTTAACTTAAACGGCCAGCAAGATTATTTTTACTTTGAGGGTGTAAATCAAAGTGCTCATTTGTTTAGGTCACAGAAAATCGTAAATCTATATTTGAACCAGGGAGAAAACTTTACTGTTTTTGAGGCGGCAATAAATCAATCAACATTCACATTTTCCTGGATTGGATTTGAAATTGATGGAAAGTCTATGAATTTAACAAAATCAGTTGGAGACACTTCCAAATTGAACTACAACAGCCTGCTTTTCCTGTCACCTATTATAGATGAGATTGAAGAATGTACTACAAATTGTTCTGCCCAAATTGCACAATACAATAATATAAACTATTGGTATATTGTTTTGATAGTGCTAGCTATAGGTATTCCTTTGAATCTAAAAGAGGAGGCTATAAAATCATGGGTAAAAATCCTTCAAGCTTCTGATGGAGTGAAATTTTCTAAAGTTCCTAGATCTATTAGCACTGATGTCTAACTTTTTTTCTATATTGAGGGAAGCTTAAGACTTAATGAGATATATGAGTCAGTTCTTAACTGTTGATGTCCTAGATCATAGAGTGTAGTACGATAAAAAAATTGCACTAAACTTTCTCTAGTAGATATCTATAAAAGCTACTATCTAAGATAGTAATTTCCATCAACATGGTTGTTTGTCCGGTTTGTAGAATTAATCAAGACCAAGCATGCCTTCACGATGAAAATACCATACGTTTAATGTGTATTTGGTTAAGACATCATCCTGAGAATCTTGCAGAGTTTTATTTCTGTGTTTACAAGTATTTTGACCGAAATATTAACCCAAGCGTGAAAAATTTTGTTGAAAAGTTTAACCTCTATAAATGAGTTCATTTCCATTAAAACATTCTTGAATTCGTTTGAAATGACATTTTACGATAATGTTGACTGGGTTGGCTTCCTCACCGAAAATGTGATAAGAAAATGCGTTTCATGGACATTAGCAGATTGTCCTGGTTGTCAAGATGGAATGAAAAATGATATTCTCCACCAACACCATCAGCTATCACTATTGGATAGAGTTCAGAACCATTTTGAAAAAGCCAGAGGCGAAGTTTTAGGTTCCTTGCCAACATTGTACAAAATTTTTGCGCCAAGCTTGCCTCATAGTTCCGACCTTAAAAAAGATGCTGTCATTTACTGTAATCTTGGAAAAACTTTTCTATTAACAAGCTCTCCTCAAGCATTGTACTTTGGGAGATACATCAACAGTTTAAACGACAGTTGCATTTCTGAGGCTATGGTTAAAGTAAAGAAAGCAAAGCTATAAAGAGGGAGGTGAATGTTCTCACTTCATTTCTTGTTTTGCGAATTACAGAACGTTTCAAATCATGAATGTCTACATCACTACAGACGGATATACTTTACCGAGCGGTTTTATCGTCAAAGAAATCTGCTGTATGTTTATCAACAATGAATTCAACCACTACCTTGTGAAACCCCCTATGAATCGAGATCTAAATGATGTTGATAAAAGAACCATACGGTATGCCACCAAGAACCTCAACAACCTGTCCTATCATGATGGCTGGTTTCCCTACGAGAAGATGAACGAAATATTTTGGAGATTTCAAGAATATCATGTGTATACCTACAACGATCTTACCTTGAAATTTATTCAAAACATTCTACCAACAACTATAGTTACAAATGTACAGGAATTAGGATTTCAGATGCCAGATGTGTTGCCAGATGCAAACTGTTTTAGGTCACACAATGCCAGATATTGTGCCAAGGCAAAATGTATTGCTATAAAAAATTTTATTGAATCTTAATTTTCTTGGGTGTTTTTAGATTTAGTTGGATATTTTAGATTTAGTTGATTGTTTTAGATTTAGTTATTATCATTTACGTTTTAATTTTATAAACGAATAATATGCGACTTTTATTTTGTATAACCTAAACATAAATAAGATACAAACAAATAAAAAGTCAATCAACATATCCATTATACCCGTATGGAATTGTGTCAATTCCATTACCTAAAACAACCCTCTTAATATCTACAAAACTTAGAGCTATTCTCTCTGATTGTCTCATAAAAATTCTATGATTTTTTGATACTAGGGTGTTCTGAGTAATGTTCTTAAACGTGGAATGTGCGATTGTTTCTACAAAATCGACATGCTTCAGTCTCTTTTGCATATTTCTCTTCACTCCCGCGGCTCCCATTTTCTGTTCTTCATCTGTAACTATAGAGTAGCATTTGGCTCTACACCCAGCAAACTGATGGGTTTCGCAACCTGCCATTTCGTCCTTGAATCTGAAAATGTGAAAGAGTTAAATTCGACTGCCTTCAACCCTAATTTATCATACATTGATTTTTAATTTGATTTAGTGACTGATAATACCTGCCCGGGGTGAGTTTATTCTGAATGGAATAGAGACAATGATTCACAGGGTAGTTTGAGAAGTCCATGAAAGTTGAGGATATTCTCGAAAATTTTTCAGTCAAATCGCCTTCTTGTATGTGGTATAGAAAACTGTCCGTGTCACTGTAGCACAACTGAAATTTGTTAATTTTAAATAGAGAAAAATAAGAACATCTAGAATAATGGTCTGTTGTTGTTCTGTTAAGCTAGAATTTGAGTAGAACTAACCTCAATTTTCCCTGGAAACAGAGGTCGCATAACTTTATAATGAAATTGATACATGTGGAGTTTTGCAAGTTCCAAAATCACCTGGAAAAATGAGCAGAGTTACAAATGAGCTTGTCTATAAATTTGTTTTGGAAAACATGAGTAAATTACGTATAATTGAGAGAGCGATCCAACTTTCATTTGAATTTCATGACTGCAATAAGCTTCGGTGCTGATAGATCTAGTATACAAAAATTTAAATGTATACAATCAGATCTCGAGGTTAACTAACACCATTTTTATTCATTTGGAACTGAGATCCCTAAAACACTACGAAATTTAAAGCGAATAATTCTCTACAATATCATGGAAGGAGTGCTCAATTGAGCATACATTTAAATATTAGTAACGGGTTAAACTATATTCTGACACAAATCAATGGTCTTGGGAGGGTCAAAGTTAAATCATGGTATGAAATGTTTATTGGTGGTCTAATACATTTTTTAAATAATAGTGTCGTCACTAAATCAGATTAGGGTAGGGTCGTTAGTCAAAGTCTAAATCCAGTAGAGAAGCCAGATCCTGAAAAATATATCAAGTTAAATTGATTGTGAGAAAAAAAACATCTTGTTGATTATAATGTTTTGGGATACTGAAGCTAAAACAAATATTTATTCATTTTTTTCTTACTTAATTTCTTGAATTTCTTTATACTTAGGATAGGATAATTCTGAACTATGATACATTGTAGTTCTAGTGAGATTCAAAGTTGTGTTTGTTTAAAAGAATAAGAAAAATGAAGCTACTCACCGTTGGTACTTTCCTAATCGACTTCTTTGAACTGGTTGCCGGCTCGCTCGGCGCCTGATTCTGAAAATATATCAACATTAAAACACTTTAAATTGTTTGTGTACTATACTCAGTGGTCGACTGGAGGCCTCAACCTCAATCAGGTTTCGACTCTAGCCAAAATCACAACCCCCGACCCTTTCTAATCCCAGCTAATAAACTTCAGGTTCTAATCTCGGCTAATTCGCAGTAACCACCCCTGACTTAGGCTCCAATTAGAAATAGGGAAGAGAAAAAAAAAAAAAAAAGCCACTCACTGGTAAAGTTTTCCCTCTGCTTATAGCAGGCCGAGAGACAGTTTTCTTTCTTTTGGAGGGTGGGGTGGGAATATTATCAGTAGAACTAGTTACGATCCATACACGTAATGTAAGATATTGCCCCTTTTTCGAGGCAGCCCCCTTGATTTCATCACCATTCTGAAAACGATATCATTTAATCTAAAACACTCGTCAATCCCTTCTAGAGTTGATGTGATTTTAAAATCTTTCAGATAATAATTAACATCAATTGAATAATAATAGAGTTTACCCTCCTGAAACCTACTTATTTACTGAAACAAATACAAAACCAAGATTTATAATCAAGTTTTTAAAATTCTTTAATTCTATATGAATCATTTAAATTTTTGAATATTTACCTTTAACATTTCTGTTTCATCCACGGGGAAATGGGAGAGTATCTGAAGTCCGTCAGACCCCGTCAAAGCAAAATTTTGAACGATCTTCGCTCCACTAATCATCTTCGTCTTTAGATATTTAACTCTCCCCTCTATTTCAACATTTGCGTCGGCGTTCAACTGTCCCAGTTCCATAGTATAGTGCTTACTAAACATAAAATTTAAAAAATTAGATAAGAAATATGAATTTTAGAATTCAAAATTTAGACTCTCAAGTGGGGCCCAGAGTCTTAAACAAAGAACTTAAACTTAAAGAGAACTGAATGTTAGTGAACTGGAAGTGGAGCAGCTATATAAGGACGCCTGTGCTCATTTCATTTGGGCTCAACATTCCTCCTTTTCTGCTTACTTGTATCCAGTCCAAAAAAGAATTTCACTGTAGTTTGCTTGCATCAAGATACCTTACTAGCTTGCATCAAGATAGTATGGTAGGTAAACTGTGCTACACTTCACTCTGTTACTATGATCTATGATAAATTTAAATTAAAATAAAATTTGTCACCGTTCAAGTTAAATAAGGCAGTCCAAAAAAGAATTTCACTGTAGTTTGCTTGCATCAAGATACCTTACTAGCTTGCATCAAGATAGTATGGTAGGTAAACTGTGCTACACTTCAATCTGTTACTATGATCTATGATAAATTTAAATTAAAATAAAATGTGTCACCGTTCAAGTTAAATAAGGCAGTCCAAAAAAAGAATTTCACTGTAGTTTGCTTGCATCAAGATACCTTACTAGCTTGCATCAAGATAGTATGGTAGGTAAACTGTGCTACACTTCAATCTGTTACTATGATCTGTGATAAATTTAAATTAATTTAAAATTTGTCACCGTTCAAGTTAAATAAGGCAGTCCAAAAAAGAATTTCACTGTAGTTTGCTTGCATCAAGATACCTTACTAGCTTGCATCAAGATAGTATGGTAGGTAAACTGTGCTACACTTCAATCTGTTACTATGATCTATGATAAATTTAAATTAAAATAAAATTTGTCACCGTTCAAGTTAAATAAGGCAGTCCAAAAAAAGAATTTTACTGTAGTTTGCTTGCATCAAGATACCTTACTAGCTTGCATCAAGATAGTATGGTAGGTAAACTGTGCTACACTTCACTCTGTTACTATGATCTGTGATAAATTTAAACTTCTAAGAATTTAGCTTCCATGCAATAGACAGTGAACTAGTTGAACAATGAGTTATTGAATTTTACAAGCTCACCGCTCGGTTCAATCATCTGCTCTATCTAAATGAAAAACTTCGTACGCTGTTAATTAATCTTCATGGTTCATACAATAACTTCACTCGAGGAGAGACCGTTTGCACTGTTAAAAATATCTAGAGAGGCCATAGGGTTGACTGTTTTCTCTATTCTAGATCTATTCAATAGAGGCTGACAAAGTTTTATGGAACTGCAGACAATAGTTAAAAAGAACTAATTGTTTTCTGGATCTTCAGACTCTAATCATAGAGAGTTACTCTTTAGATCTACAGATAATAGTAAATTAGGAGTGATTGGTTCAGCAATAGAGTTTGTAAAACGGTTATCAAGTATCAAAAATCCGTGAAATTTTTACAAGTGTCGAAAATGCTCGAAATTTTTACAAGTGTCGAAAATCCGTGAAATTTTTACAAGTGTCGAAAATCTGTGAAATTTTTACAAGTGTCGAAAATGCTCGAAATTTTTACAAGTGTCGAAAACCCGTGAAATTTTTACAAGTATCGAAAATCCGTGAAATTTTTACAAGTGTCGAAAATCCGTGAAATTTTTACAAGTGTCGAAAATCCGTGAAATTTTTACAAGTGTCGGAAAATGTGTGCAATAGCAAAATGTGTGCTACAGAGGGTAAATATCTCTTACTATCAATGCCGTATTGTATATTCAGAGTATATTGAACTGGACATTTGTATGCTTACAGATTCAGATTTTACACGATTTATATCGTATTAAATTCGAATTTCACTGGTTTAAACGCCTCCCTCCCTCCTTCCCTCCCTCCCTCCCTCCCTCCCTCCCTCCCCTTCAGAGTATATTGAACTGGACATTTGTATGCTTACAGATTCAGATTTTACACGATTTATATCGTATTAAATTCGAATTTCACTGGTTTAAACGCCTCCCTCCATCCCTCCCTCCTTCCCTCCCTCCCTCCCTCCCTCCCTCCCTCCCTCCCTCCCTCCCTCCTTCCCTCCCTCCCTCCCTCCCTCCCAACCATACTGACACTCTTCAGACTGGAGATATCCGAAATAACTTAAAATTCGTGCCAACTTTAATCTTAATTTGTCCAATGTTTTGAAATCAAAATATTACTAATAACCAAGTGTGTTATCAACTGCTGTGAACCTTCTGTATTGATATCCTATTGGTTTAGCTTATAATTCAGTTTAAAAAAATTTCCGGGGGCTGCGCCCCCGGGCCCCTTCCACAGCTAGCTTCGCTTGCGGCGGTAGCCTCGGAGCTGGCGCTTCGCGCCGACTTTTCGCCTTCCCCTTTCAAAAATCCTGCGCACACCCCTGCCTCCCTCCCTCTCTCCCTCCCTTCCTCCTAAATTGGCTCAAATCAGCACATCTAAGCTTTCAATTAACTGTAATGATTAATGAATGTTTTAAAATACCTGATGAAAATTTATCATCACTCTAGGACGATCACGTTAGGTAATATGTAGTGATGGATTCAGATGAGGATGAAATATTTGAAAAGAGTGTATTCGACAATGATGCGATCAGCAAAGGGGATTTGGTGTGGGCTCCACTGAAGGTAGATGATAATGGCGGGAATGCAATGTGGCCTGCCAAGGTTACTTCAGTGAAGGGGGGTGAAAAAGTAACTGTAAAGATGCTTGGTCGTCAAATGAAAGCTATCACTGTTGAAGGCTGTGTGCCTTATGTTCTGAATGATGAGTACGAGGTAAGTTGACTGCAGCTAAAGGACACTGTCATTTTATTTACTGCAGCTGTTGGTCTGATTCCCATTAAAAATTGTAGATCTGTACCTAAATGTTGAAGGTTCCAAAAATAAAATAGATTACACCGTAATTTACGTAGCTTGTGCAATTAAAACAAAGTTGAAGTGATGTAACATCCACATGCTAAACCATGCTAAAACTGCTCAAATGGTAAAGCTTGACTAAACTCTCAGGATAAGGGGAAGGGATTACCACTGTGGGATGAAGCAATATCATTGGCTAAGGAGATTGTGGATAAAGAAACTAACGGTATAATTCAAACTAAATTGCCGTCTACTCCTCAACCTGCTAGTTCGAGTACAGAAGGTTGGAAAATTGTTTTACTCTCCTTTATTATACAGTAAAACCCTGATTTACCGTAAACCTCAATTTACCGTACCCTGATTTACCAAACCCCGATTTACCGTAAACCCCGATTTATCGTACATTTTCCCTTACCCCAATTTTTTGGGAAAATGTCTATATTTTTGGTTTGATATCACGTGATCCTTCATCCTTTTAAATGGGTCCCTGATGTCAAACGAGCTACTTCCCCTAATTTTCTCTTAATAAAGTGCTTGTGATCCATAACCGTTAATTGGGAACCAGTAATGTGCGGGGAGAAACCATGTGATCCGACGTAGACTCAAAACTCAAAACCACGATTTACTGTACAACCCAATTTTCCGAATTGTCTTCCTTTCCCCCAAATTGGAGTTTTACTGTGTCTTCACAAATAAGACGCACATTTTAAATTCAACAATTCATGGACCGAAAATATTATCATATATAACAATATACTCTTCTTTACAGCTAAGCTAATACCAATTGTAACTCATAACGTTATTACTTCAGATGGCCGAGGTAAGCGGAGAAAGTTGGGTAGCCGTACAAACATGACTGGGCATGTTCAGGGGGACATAGTTTGGGCCAAGTACAGGAACCACCCGGTTTGGCCTGCAAAGGTCAGTAATACTGTTATTATGTGCTTAAAATTATCCAGAACTATTTGCTACATTTCTCACAGTACCTTAAGAGTTTTTCTTTAACTTTCATCATCACAATTATTACTTCAGTTTATTAGCTATTAGTTAAAGTTATTAAAAGTTTAAATATTTAAAAGCGTAGAAGAAAAAAAAAGTAGAGGAAAATAATTTTGTTATTAATATTGAACATTTAAAAAACCTAAGATAACAACATAACACATTAAGTATTAAAAACTCTTCATTTGACTGTCAGGTTACGGACATAGAAAGTGGGTACCTCATGATTCACTACCTGGTGTACGGTCAACATTCCATCAGAACTGCCCTGAGAAACATCTCTCACTTTGACTGTACTGACTATGTCAGCAACGTAGAGGCGGGCATAAATTCCACTCTGTCAGCGGAATTCAAAAAAGCATTCATGATAGCTTACGAGGAATTCACAGCTCTGAATCCTAATGTTGAGCTGTCTATCACTCCGCTCCAGCTCTTCTCAAATGGGAACCAGTTAGTGAAACTATTATGTATTATATGATGTTTGGAGCCAGCTATGAAGATGACATAACTTATTTTATATAGGGTTTATATGATGATTTGTTGTACTCAAAAATCCATAAAATATTTTCAACCATAAACTATTTACAAATACAATGTGCTAGTACTCATAGTTATTTGTTATGATTTTGTTTTATTTCAGTGCGCCTAAAGAACCCGTGTCACCCCACAAAGGCAAAAACCAACTTGTGCACTTCATCAACAAAAACGAAGAAATGTTCTTGAAAATAATCCAAGGAAAGCTAGTGTCTCACTATCACAAGGAGTTTAAGATAAGTAAAGATACCCTTAACAATGGTGCATTGTTCGGTTCATTCGCCAAAACCGAGTTGGAGGAAGAGAGAGTTGTCGCTGCTATCGGACAGATGCAAGCGAAATTTGCTAAGAGGTCAGTTACATAATTTTATATTATAGAGCTTTTCATCAAGAAGTGAAATACATTTTCTTCTTCTTCATAATATTATGTAGCTAGGGTGTGGACTAGCTACTATACCTAGTTAAAATGTTTCCTTCCCATTACATAGTGCTAAATGAATGTAACAGAGTTTCCATTAATTGTTCTAATTGCAGATATAAGCTCCCCCAAGCGTACGGTCTGAGTGTTATGCTACCTGAAGCTATAATACGACTCGTGATGTTCAAACAACAGCTCCCCTACTCCAAGGCTAAGCAAGTTTATCAAACCGACATCTTGAAGGTAGGCTTTATGAATCATGAGTGAAAATTCTAATTAATTCTTTATTCTATTTTATCTTAACATACTAGTATACTAGGGATGCTAACATATAATACGGATTAATATTCATTTTAAGTCAATTCCAGCAGTTGCAGTTACAGGGTTAAAATGTATGATTCGGGATAATTATATAGCAGGATTAACTAAATAAACCGTTTATCATATTAAAGAAATTTCATAATTTTACCACATCCACAAAGAGCTCTAAATCTCGAGGTTGAAATGTAGTTATATAATACAAAGTACAATTTGAAACTAAATCACAAGCGTACGCATTCCAATGATCCACTTAAGTATTATTTCCACGTCAGGTCAAGAAAGGTGACAGATTGAAAGCTCGGGAAGCACTTCTCAACACGACCATCTCACAAGAAGCTAAAGAGGAGTTCGAGGAGCTATCTAATCTAAAACTCCAGAAAAGTCTAGAGTCTCATCGTGGAAAGGGCAAGATAAAGAGAAAGAGATAGCTGGTTGAGTTTTAGGCGTGGTTTCCGAAAACCTCATAATTCTGGTAGAAATTATGTGATCTGTTACTGTCAATATCCTGGTGAAAATTATTTTCCGCTGTATTTTACCAGAGTTAAAGCTAGATTTATTTACGTTTTCCAAAATGTATTTTAAAGTTTTAAGCTTAAGCTGATTCGAAGGCGATCGCTAATTTGCTCGATCTTGCGAAATATCCGTGTTCAACCCCTAAGAGCTTACTTAGGTTTATTTACTGGAAGTTATGGCGGGTTATATAATGGACTGTATTATTAATTTTGGCTAATCAAGTCGCTGCTGTTATGAAATTTTTGTGGAGTATTTTCAGAACTTTTGATATAGTGTCTGTTGACACCGTGAAAAATATTGTTGACTTTTTTATGATTTGAATATTTATTATTTGAGAACACAGTTTTTGAGTTAAAATCTGTGGACCCAATGTCAGTCTTTTAGTTTGTGCATCGCAATGAGTCTTAGATATTTACGCTATAAATATCTTTTTTTACTATTTACGCTATAAGATCGCTATATAGTATATTATATATATAATACAGGGTGGCCCATAAGTGACTACCCACACGCAACCTCTTAATAACTCACGTAATTCGTCTCCAAATTGCACCAAAATTTCAGAGATCATAGATATGGGTCAAACTTAGATTTCCTGAAAGTTTCGTAAGCCACGCCCAATTACAGTGGGCGTGGCGTGACACTCCCTCCTTTTCACTATTGTCTTCATAAAATGAGAACGCTTTAAGCTAAGAACTCGAAATTTTTTGCACACATTTGGCTTGATAATTGAAAAATTTTCCCAAAGTTTCAAGTTCATTGGTTAAAATATCGCTAAGTTATGACCATTTTAAAATCCATCGGATATGTGATCCGAGCACTCAGTCAGTGATATTTGCACTCAATTAGTGATCTCGTCACCCAATCTGATCAAGAGTAAGGCGTTAGCGTGTATTAATGAGGTTCATTAGGCTTTGATTGGATACCGATGATGACTTTGCTAGAAAGGGAAACACAAATTTTTAGGATAAAAACCAGATCGTGACTTTTCAGGAAAAGCCGTTCTCTCCACCACTTCATCCGGTCTAGTAGAGCCCCAGTGAATTGCATTCTGGGAGTTGACATATCCGTTTACTTGGCCTTGTTGCTGTACCAGATTTCGTCCTCAAAGTAGGGATCCACATTCTGGAATGTGTTGGCGAAATCTATCCTCGATTGGAAATCACGGTCCAAAAGTTTGTGTTTCTTTGTGATTCGGTAGGCCCGGTTCGATGATTCAATGGATGGTTCATTTCTTTTTATTGATTGTAAGGAACCTGTGACTAGCAGGGCTAACAAGCCCTGAAATGGTGACACCACCATAAATTCGTGTGATAGCGTTTTAGGTGCAGTCAGCTGTATAGGCCGGCCCATAAGCAGGCTGCAACCAATCAAGCGGTGCATGTGAGCCAAACAGGCCATTAACCAAGTGACGAGATCACTGACTGTGTGCTCGGATCACGTATCCGATCAGTTTTGAAATGGTCATAACTTAGCCATATTTTAACCAATGAACTTGAAACTTTGGGAAAGGTTTTCAATTATCAAGCCAAATGTGTGCAAAAAATTTTGAGTTCTTAGCTTAAAGCGTTCTCATTTTATGAAGACAATAGTGAAAAAGAGGGAGTGTCACGCCACGCCCACTGTAATTGGGCGTGGCTTACAAAACTTTCAGGAAATCTAAGTTTGACCCATATCTATAATCTCTGAAATTTTGGTGCAATTTGGAGACGAATTACGTGAGTTATTAAGAGGTTGCGTGTGGGTAGTCACTTATGGGCCACCCTGTATATCATTTTGTAAACTTCTTACGCCCTCCCCCCCTCCCCCCCCCCCCCCCCCCCCCCCCGGCCCTGTTCACTTTCCCCTTCCAATAAAGATAATATGTAGAGCTAATAATTGAGTATTTGACTTTTTTTGTTACAAAACCAACCCATTTTTGGAAAACCCATTTTTCATAATTTTTAGTATGTGAGTGTTGTTATTTTTAGGACACCGTGTAGAAGTCGATTAAAACTGGCTACGAAATAAACGAGCTTCAATCCCGAAAATACGGTCCTCAACCTTTGGCGGGTGTACGTGGATTTGTTTTTCTAAACTTGTCAAATTGAGACAACTTATCATTCATCCATATCTCAGTTTAAAATGTGTTAATTTTTGAGTAAATATTTGATTCTTTTATGATGATGAACATACTATTTAGTATTTAACAATTCAACCTGTTTGTAGCATGTTTCAGATTCAATGCTATATCGATTTGCTAAACTTTGTTTTTATTTTATGTCTCCTATTATACAGTTATACACCCAGGGTTATCACACTGCAGTAATGTTAACCCTTTGAAAATTGAAGAAGATACCACACGCATTATAATTATGAATATCTAAATTTGAAAAACTGCCAATTTATTAGGCTATCCTACAATCTATGCTTTTCTCTTGTCACCGGAAATGCTCAAGCATGCCCAGTAATAACACCAAGACCATGTAACAAGGTATGTCGTCCTCAAAGCTAGCTATACGACAGGACATGCCCCCTAAAGGGGGCTATGCTCCGATCCACTGGAAAAGATACGCTCCAAAGCGTACCATCCCCGGGTATTTTATCTTCTCAGCCTGGCTGGGTGGTGCTATTTACTGCTACTCTAAGATGGCCCTGATGCGCTTCGAGCAGAGGTATTCTTCAAATTTATTATAACCAACATTGACTTATACGAAGAACAGATTATAGTCTCGCATTGAAGTCATCATTTTAAAATGACATACTTTTCTAACAAGAGTTATTATACAGAGTTATATATCGTCGTGGTTTTTTCATGAGGGCGAATGTAAAAAACAATTTCAGATAATGGCACTTGAAGTTTTAAAACTGACATTGGCCCTTCCAAAATGGCGAATGTCCAACATTCGCCATATGTTTGCAGCATTCGACCACTATTATCAAACGCCCAATGTATAACATTCGGCGTTTTTGGAAATCTCGAAAATAACATTCGCCCTTCGAAAATCTAAACTATGCTCGATAGAGCATCAAACTGTTTGGTATGTTATAGACCTTTATTAGACCTAATTTAAGCCATGGTGAAATTTGACATTCGCCCTTTTATTAAAACCACGACGATATGTATTCCGTTTTAGTAGCGTAATAGTGAGAAAACAGATTTAAGATCACAATAATCCCACAATGGACCGTGTTTTTATTTTTTATAACGAAATGTTTTTGCAGGGTTAACGATCACCAAGAGTACCATATAAGGAAAAACATGTACCCCTTTATCTGGGCTGAACAAGACAGAAGGTATGTGTGGTGATCAGATAATTCCGTGGTCATCTGTTGTTCAATCAAATAATCCTTTGGCGAGCTTCTCGTACGAATTAATATTAAGGTTCAGTAAAAAATTCGGCCTAAAACCTGGAAAAATGACTAACAACTGGTATCACAGTGACACACTTAACCAAATTGAAACTTTGAAGTTCAGACGCTTTAAAAACAAAAAGCGGATTTTTTCGAAAGTGTGACCCTCCAGTCAAGGTGTGTGCCACACACTATGTCTTGAGACTATGGCAGGCAATAGACAGACCCCTGTTCGCTAGGAACGTTCCTAGCGTTCGTATAGAACAATTGGTCATTTGTCGCTCCTGACCCTAGAGCAAACTTACGTTGTTTTCATTGTTAATAATACTTGCCAGGATGGTGCGGGCACGGAAACAACACGAAGAGGACCTGGCTTTGATTGGAGCCGGGACTGACTGGGACTGCCATCGGAGGACATATGCGCAGGAAGAGGTTTGGACGCCGTGGAATCCGCGGGAAATGAGGGTCCTGCTCACAGACGAGGAACGTGTCGCACTCGGAGGTATTTTATAGGACCAGTTTAAACTTCATTACTGGTGACCATCGTCGTGATTTCAGTACGAAGGTCTAAGAGAGAAATATTTCCGGTCACCTAATCCGATTCATTTTAATATGAATCTTTTTAAATGACACAATTAGTCCTGCGTCTACAGTTTTCTAGAGAATTACGGAAACAATTTTTTTCCCTACTCTTGCCGAAGGCAAAAAGATCGTAGGGAATAAGTAATCGGGTTTGGATATATGAGGTGGCCCGACGGTCCTACGGTGTCGACAAAAGTCTGCTCCTTCGCAATATAGACCACTCCCCTATAATTATGTGTATAAAAGGAGTCTATTTTGCGCGCGCGACGCTGGTTATGAGTTAATTAATTACAGGCATAGCAACCAGTTTTTGGTGCTTGACGACTGTTACAAACGGATCAATCATCAATATAGGTGTTATTTGTGCGAAACAAGCTTAATAAATTACCGAGTGATAAAATTCAGCAAGTCAAAACAAATAAAATTATGATGTCAGCTGATAAACTCGTGGCTGTGGGCTGATTGTTTAACAGTTAATCGACACTGAATGGTAGAAAGCATTGGAATACATAGTTGAGAACAAATGTTACTTCACAGTTACATTCAAGAAGCAACTATAATATCAAGATTGTGGTATGCTTTATTATCAAATAAAAGGCTCGAAAGTCGATGGTGCTGTGATGTGTCGAGTAAGAATCAAAATGTATTAGTTTATGTTAGATACAAATAATAACTAAGACGAGACAGCATATTTTATTACAGTCAATAAGTTGGCATACGATGCAGTAATATGACGTGACATGATACGCATATCGTTATTGTTAACACGAAACAAAACCGCGCAAAGTATGAAATGATCTACAACCAAACCACATACAGATCGACGGCGACACCTCAGATGCGCGCAGGATTTTTCAAGTTCTGCACGCCTAATATAATATAAACGTTTATTACATTGTACAGCAGGGTGTCAGAATTATTGGCGTGTTTGAAATTTTATGTGTATTTTATGATGAAATCAATATTTTTCGACGGGTCATAACTTTACTTCTGAATATCGAAATTACAAAATTCAAAAACTGGTCTGTAAACAATCGTCTGAACTTTTTCTTAAATTCAGAATTTTGTGTTGATGTACCTCAAAACCCATAATTTAGACTGTTATTTAAAGTGTCGATATCATACTTGGTTAGATTTACGAAGGAGTAAGGGATTTATGTGTAATTTTTTTTTGGTGAATTTTTTCTGAAATTATTCTTTAGACTAAAGTGCACAGCTCTTCAGGCGATAGCGAAACATATCATATATAACTTCTTTCGGACTTTGTTTTTAGACTGAACTGTAGTATGAAGGATTATCTCTCGAATGATTAAGACTCCATAGAAAACTGACCCTCAGAAGTCAAGTTATGATCGTTTCTAAAAGCTTGGGTAAGCTAAAATTTTAAGCAAAATTGTCTGCGCGCCAATAATTATGACACCCTGCTGTACATGCGCCAAACACCACTCTGGGATACAATAAAGTAGAACAATTAAATTGTATGCAGTAGGGAAATTTGATCGTGCGTGGTGTTACCGCGGCGAAATTCTTGTTAAAAGTTGCTCCTTCCATTGACAATTGACATCCATCAAAATCCTCGCTGAAATTTCTAAATTGTAAAGTTGTAAGCCCTACCAGTTATCACACTCCCTTTTCTCAATTCATGCAAATTTAATTTTTGAAAACGGAAATGTTTTAAAACTCTTCCTCCTCACTTTGATTTAAAATTCCCAGGTCAGCCGTCCAGGTACAGTCAGAACGATCTGTATCAGAACTACCACTGGCAGATCGATGCCCATGAGAATCGGTGGAAGAACTGGTCCGACGAAAAAGAACGAAATGCGGGTGTCAGTCAACGTGAACTTGGTCCTGATGGCTCTGATTATCAAAAATAATAACTTTTCTGATAGGGATAAACTTTGTTTTATAGCAAATAGACCGTACGATCAACTTGTGCTTTACATCAAGAAACACCCAGCAACAGTAGTAACTCTTCGTTTGGATATATCCAGTTGAGATCTGTAAATTGTATTACTTCACACTACTTTAGAGTTTGAATCGTGATCACAGATCAGCTGTTCGCTTTAATGGAGCTCCGGTGATAATGATCATCTAACATGTCTTAGTTTAAATTATTGGAGTCAAAATCAAATCATCGACATTCGTCAATAAACCTTTTACTCGCTGGAGGACGAACTAGAAATTTTGATATTTAACTTGCCTCGTTTTTTGTATTAGAAGACTATGAAATCCTTCTTGGTAACCACAATTATGATTTTCATGATTTGTTTAACTTATTCGATATAAAATGCACGTTTTTGTTTCATTAGATCACTGTTATAAATAAGTTATGAAGCACTCTTTTTAGTGTGTTTTGCTGGGAGGGAATATTCTAGGACATCAATAATTCAAGTCAACGTTGTTGGGTTAAGAGGTTTAAACATATATATAATATATACATATTATATATATATCACAATTAATAGAAGTGTATTAATATTCATGGATTATTTTAATAGTGATTACGCCATAACCCTTACTCCCTGAATATTATCACAAATGCTGACCAACCTCTCAAATTCAGACGAGGAATGTAAATGGAACGTTGAGAATGTATGGGAGATGGTCGAAGTAACATTGTCGGTGGAAGGAGGGGGAGTGTACATTGTAGGACAGACAATAAAATGTGCCCTCCTGGTTCACAACTCGTCCGATGTTGCTGACAGACTGGCTTGGGCTACCGGCCAAATATCTGGTCATGTCACGTGAGTGTGTTTTAAAATATCATCATGGATTATTAATTTCTCGTCATTTCAACTTGAGATCCTACATATATCCTTGCTTTTTCTTTCAAGTATGGTTTTCTTAAGTTAACCTTTATGGTAGGGGGTCTGGAAAAGTCCAGTAGAAGTACATTTTGTTCAGATCTGCATACCGTTCATATCTTTTTCGTTGTAACCCAAAATCCCGTGAGTTATTTAGTTTCGCACCATGTTGACTGGGCGTGTTAACTTCTTGGTCACTCTAACATTCTCAGAGTAGACGAGCGTCACGTGCAGATCGCCAGGGAGCAGCAAGAAGTTACTAACTCCAACTCTGCTCTTAATAAACACGTTGCAAACGATTGTTTCTTTTCCTCTGACCCTGAGATATTGTTTTGTGATCTTCAACTGCTACCACATTCCTCCAAGGTAACGTAGTGCTGTAATTTGGAACTGTTAGTAATTTCTCTTTGAACAATTTTTATAACATATAGCAATAGCGGGGCATGTTGTTTCTGTTGCGCATACCAAAGCCAGGGTAACATCTTAATATAACTAGGTCCGTATGTGGTACTATTTCGTGGAATCACATACCAGTGTTCGGCAGGCGCGAAAGACAAATGCATTACGATTGAGTCGAGTTAAAGTTGTTGGGAATTTGGTACGCGCGAATTCCTAACGCGCGCGAATAGAACTAGACAATTCTGTAGATCGATTCCGCTCAGCTCAGCATTCCAGCATATTATTTTAAAACTGGTATGGAGGCCTTCAATGATAGCCACGGTCCATGGCATTAGATCCCATTGTATTTATGTTAAAATATACCATGTATAACAATCTTCTGGACCGAATTAACCGCTAAACCCAGAACCCTCCCCAGTAGGAGTTGAAGTTCAGCGGAATTGTACCAACTCACTCTCCACCTTCATATCGGGGCTCCTACATCAAATACAGCTACATCGTGTTGGTTGGACTTCAACGAGTTAACAAGCCAGTGACCCTCATCAACCTTCCTATCAGAATTATTAACCTTCCTGGTACGTTTTTTAACATAACTATTTTCTAAAATTGTGGCAGGGTTTGTTAAGAATTTGTGTATTTTCCAGTGTAACTATGGTCTATGCATCTTCCTTTTAACTCATCGTTTCAGCTTTAGGTCCTTGAGCATTAAAATGTGTTTTTATATAAGAGTATTTGAGTAATTTCTTCTCTTTCTATTACTGTTTACACGTCTAAATGAAACCCAGCTCTTTCAACAACAAAGACCTGACCTCGGCCTCCGTCATAATGCAGAGGTTGATCTTCCACCTGCGGTTATTTCCTTATCAATCAGATCAATATCCGTGAAATGATGGACCTCAATAGTAACCCTTTTATACAGTTTACGTTAAGATATAACTGTAGGATTAATGTCCACCAGGCTTTCTCCCCTTTATTTCACGTAATATAGTTATCAACTGCTGGGATATAGATACTATTGGTTAAGTTAGCTTCTTTGTTAAGTGTCGACTCTAAGCAAGCAATAAGCATTTAGCTGATCTGGTAATGTCCTAGTATCTCCACTTTAGGAAGAGCTTATTACCACCATGGCAATTGCCAGACTGGTAATAGAAACTGTTACATGTCTAGAACAATTTATGGCCTACATTCCTAACTTCCTGTTTCATTTGTCCTTGTCTCTTCCAACTGGATATTATCCAACTATCAGTATCTAGAACAATTCTTAGATTTATGTGCTCTTTTTGCTTAGATCCGCCATAGCACTTGAGCGATATTTATCAGTAGAGTTACAGTAACAATACTACGGGTAATGGAACAATTCAGTGAGTTCCAAATTACCAATATCCTTCCGGTTTCTTCTAATTATGTTTCTAAAATGTAAATTTCAATATGTATATTTCCAGTTACACTCTTCATTTTCATCTACAGCTTTGTCTGCTTTGGCATATTGAACTAATTCTTTGCATTTTATGCATTCCATTTTACTATGATACTATTGTACTGATAAATATTATAAATATTTAACATTTTCTTTCTCAGTGTTATCAAATATGGTAATCTTATCTGTAACACCTTATCCTAGGTATTAGTCTTGTTGACGGACCCAAGAAGCCTCTTTCACACCCCTTCGCACCCAGAGAAGAGTGCATCAACTATGAGGACTACTTCATGGACAAAGTCCAGGTCAGAAGAGTATATAGCAGCATCTGTACTCTGTACTCTGTACTCTGTAATCTGTACTCTATACTCTATACTCTATACTCTATACTCTATACTCTATACTCTATACTCTGTACTCTATACTCTGTACTCTATACTCTATACTCTATACTCTGTACTCTATACTCTGTAGTCTGTACTCTATACTGTGTACTCTATACTCTATACTGGGTACTCTATACTCTATAGTCTATACTCTATACTCTATGCTCTGTACTCTGTACTCTGCACTCTGTACTCTGTACTCTGTACTCTGTACTCTGTACTCTATACTCTATACTCTATACTCTATACTCTGTACTCTATACTCTATACTCTGTACTCTATACTCTATGCTCTGTACTCTATACTCTATGCTCTGTACTCTGTACTCTGCATTCTGCACTCTGTACTCTGTACTCTATACTCTGTACTCTGTACTCTGTACTCTGTACTCTATACTGTGTACTCTATACTCTGTACTCTATACTCTGTAGTCTGTACTCTATACTCTATACTCTATACTGTGTACTCTATACTCTATACTCTATACTCTATGCTCTGTACTCTATGAGTATTGCTGACTGACCTGATTGTAAGCCCCAGGGACTCGCCTTAATTGCCATCCTTGTTTCTATGCCGGATGCTTGGCGGGAGCAGTCAGAAAGAGCTAAATTATGGTAGCGGGCGATATGCTCATCCTATGTTACTTTCCATTACATTGTGGAGTATGTATACCGATACTGAAGGGAAAAATTTCCTGTGTTTGAATATCACAAATGCGGAAAGGTGTTACATATCATTCTGAGAATTGAGAAATTCATTTTCAGCTTGGATTAGGCTCATTTGGCAGATAATAGCATCAAGGAAATCTTAGTAGTAATATGAATAAACGACAGTGTAAGGCCACACTAGCTTGAAGCAGACTCTTGTACTTATGCATTATGAGAATTTTGGTACTTCAGTAATTCTAAAAAGTTGTGATTATTACTTAGTTATCATATTAATACGAGATACTTTTACATGTACTTAAAACTCTGTAATCTCTTACTATATGTTATATAATGTTCTTAACTTGGACTCTATACTGATTAGTCCTAATTCTTTTCAGCTTGTGCCTGTAACTGACCGAGACGTTGTTAGTGAAACAGTGAAGGTTGTGTCTGTACGTCTATACCTACTCTAGACTTATACACTAGGAGATCCGTATACTAGTTACTTAGATTCGGGAGTTCAATGGTTTAGTGTAATGTATATATGCTCTGGTATGTGTAACTGTATCTGTTACTCTTCTTGTCTAATTATCGTACTGTTGGACCATATTTGAGTTGTAATCTATTTGTACTACATATATTGAGTTGATAATTCATTACTGCATTGTAAACTTTACTATATCTATAAACTTATACTCTATCTACAGTAACATTAATATTGCTAAGCTCTGGGACTCCAGAAAGTGAGATTCGAGGGACTGACACTCTGTACTCTGTACTCTTATTCTGTATCTAACCATATCATCTCCGTTACCCTCATATCCACTCTATACTTGTCACTCTTTTACTTGTTTCTACTCAGTGGGTATCTTAAATTTCTGTTGATTTGTTATCTTATTATTCAGGATTATTTGTTCCGAGCAATTGCTGTAATTGTATTTTCTATTAACATGCATTTTGTAGCAATTAAATTAATGTTACGTTTAAAACGTCTGTAAAGTCTCATTCCAGGTTACTGTTTATGTTTTGAACGCATTGAAATCAGGGGAAGTAAGTGACGCGGGCTATCTGTTAGCAAGATCTACTGCGATGAAGACTCTTGGAGAACATGAATCCACACTTCTGGGAACTCAAGTGGTGTTGAATTTTGATGCCTGGAAGAATAGATAGACGTTTTTTTGATGTGAACCATCGCTAATGCTCATCTGGATCGAGTTGCTTATAATTGATTTAGGAATTTAGTTATTTGGAATAAGACTGAAAACGGTAAAGATGTGAATTTCGGTCCACACCTAGGTTAAAGCGGAGGAGATAATTAGATCTTAATGTAAAGTGGTTAAGTTGGAAAATTGTACGTGGTTAAGATAATTCAGTTAAATGTTTGTGATTATTTTTTAGTGTTTTCAATATTGAAACGAGAGAATTTTGGACATTGGAAACATTTAAAAAAATTAAATTTGCTGTCAAATTCTCTTAAACAATTGTTTATAAATTAAAATGTTTCTTACACTTTGGCTGCTATAGTGGATTAATCCCATAATTCCTTTTCAGTCGTTGTGCTGTAAACGACCGAGAAGTTTTGAAGTGAAAACGAGTGAAGGGTTGGTGTCAATAGTTCGTCTTACTAAAGGAGCTTACCGACTAGGAGATCCGATAGAAGTTAACTTAGAGTTCGGAGAGTTGCAATGTGTTCAGGTTGGTGAGATGTATAATTGCGTCATTGGTTAATGTGTTAACTGGTGAATCAATGTTTAACTCTTTCTTGTCTAATTATGAGATTATGGATTGGGCGCCATATTTGAGTTGATTAATATTTTGTCACTACATGATATTGAGTTGAATAATTCATTTTAGCTGCATTGTAAAAATTTAATAATCGATTAGTAAATATTTATACATCTACACTCTACAGGTAACATTAAAATTGCAAGCTCTGGAGACGATATCCCCAGAAAGTGAGATAAACGAAGGGACTGACACCAGATGTACCACTCATGATACTAAAACTATTCAGTGTATTCACACCAAATCCACCGCCGTTACCCTTCATATCCCCCTCAACGTTGTCAACTCATTCTCCACTAATATTGTTCTCGTCAGGTGGCAGGTAAGCTGTAGCTTCTTGTTTGATTGTTTAATCGTTTATTGATTAGATTATGTCTGTTCCCAGCAATTTGCTGTAAATATGGGCCGCTATAATCTAAATTACCCACCAATCGCCATTATTGTAGCATTTAAAAACTGTCTTCACGTTTAAAACGTCTGTAAACGTTCTCTTCCAGGTCCACTTTGATTTTGTGATCGCACATCTCCGCAAATCAGGGGAGATAGTCGACGCGGGCCTGACCTCTGTCTCAGCCAAAGGTCTGGACTGCGACTGGAGACCTCTGGAGACACTGAACGTCTCCACACTCTCCTGGGAACTCCCTGTGAGAGTGGTGCCCACCTTGCCCCAATACATTGCCACCATAGCCTGGCAGAGAACTCAGACTAAGGACGTTGTTTGACGTGAAACCAATCGTAATGAACTCAGATCTAGGGTTTCATGTTGCTTGATTAATGATTATAGGAGAAGTTTAGTATTGCTGGATAAAGCTACTCGAAAGATCTGGAAAAGATGTGAATGTTCGGATTCCTGTGACACGCTGTATAGTGTTTAACACCTGCGGACTGTGAATAGATTCAGATCTAAATTAGTAAAGTATGGATCCTTTTAGCTTTGGAAAAAATGTAGCGTGGGTTAGAGATATTCATAATGTTATAATGTTTGTAATTGGCATTGTCGTTTTAACGTTATGTTTATGAATCCAGCTGAATGCTGATGTGACAGTGTTATTTTCTGATTCTAACGTTGTATTTCGCAGAATTTTGATTTATTGCCTACAATAATATTTTGTATTGTTATAATTTGGGCCATAACTCAGCCCTGGAAATCCCACTTCTCTAACATATTAAACGCACGAGTTTCGATATTCAAACATTCTGCAAAGTTTCAGCTGATCCTAACGATAAACTTCCCTACTTTAGGATGAGACGCTCATAGCAGAGCGGTCTGGCTTACCTTACGATGAGATAAAATGGGTTCGAGTTAGGAACTGCACAATCAGTCAATCGGAACGTACACCTATCATCAGAATGTTACAACTATTGATTTTATTCCTGGTCCCGCTGGTCTGGTCTCAGAAACACGCCCCGTATGGCTCTAAAACTCCATACCACCTGGTAGCAGGAAATGTCCTTGATTTCGACTTCCCCTGTAAACCAGTGTCCTTGTTCAGGTGAAAGTTTGTTTTGGAGTGCTTGAGTTTTGTGGAATTGTTTTTTTGTAGTGACCAATTTTATTTTTGTGAGCTGTGATACATAATGGGACAAAATCTTTTCAATTCTAACTGTGATTCAATTTCAGTGTACACCGTCACGGCACAAGGAACATCGGCAAGAATATAGTGAAGAGAATAGACACGCTAGTGGGTGCCCTGCAGTCTACATACAAGACTAAGGGCCTACCTAACGATAATCTTAAGTGGCTTCTAGGTATGAACCTTACTTGCTATTATCATTTAACCAAAATATAAAACTAAGTCCTTGAATACTTTCTTTTTCTAAAATTAAAACTTGTTCTAAATATCTGTTTAATTGGTTGGATGTTAAATGGTATTGTTCTCCTAGATTTCAGTCACGGTAACAAGCCCAACAAGGACCTGATAGTGGAGGGATACAGACAACTCTCTGGGCAGGGGGAGAGGTTCTCCCAGGTGTTCCCCGACCTTTTATCCGACACCTCTCACGTGCGGGTAGGGACCTCTTTTAAGGGCCGTTGTATCAGTTCAGCTCTGAGCTTCCTGCACGGGGCATACGGGAAATCCTTCCGGGTTAGTAACGAGAGTGAGATTCTAAAAACAAAAGATATCAGACGTGATTGTGAGGGAATGTGCCATGTTTATGAGCCGGTCGTTGAAATGAAAAGTGAAAGGGATCGTAAAAGTGACCGACCTCACATCACATTCGAGCATCAGCAAAACCATCTCCTGCGATACTACAAAGAGTGCCGGAACTATGTAACCAAGGAAGGTAATAAAGCAGCGTGGCAAGCTGCGCCTAACAAGTACCTAACCGGCTCCAGGATGACAAGACTCACTAAGAAGATGGGGGAGCGTCTGGGAATACAACTGTCACCTCACGACGTGGTGACTCTACACATCCTGTGCGCACTGGAAGTGGGAGTACCCCGGCTCATGAGCAACTCTCAGTTCTGCAGCCTGTTTGAGGAGAACGAGCTCTACGTTACAGCTTTCTATCTCGATCTAATGAGGTATAACGGTAAAATGATCCCTGAGGCAGTCAACTCCAGCTGTGTACTGATGCAGGACGGTCTTAACTTCTTAAAACAAGACCGGGGTGCTAACCTGAAATTCGCTCATACGGAAACTATTTTCCCGCTGTTGGAGCACATGGGTCACCTGACTGAGCCCATGTCCGCCAAGCGGAGTCTCCTCGAGAGGGAGTTCTATGGGGATATCACCCCTCTGGGAAGCAACTTCTTTATGGTTGCCATGAAGTGTCCAGACTCCAGTGAGAGGATTGTTCAGACTTTTCTTAACGAGAAACCGATAGAGTTTCCCAACTGTGGTAGCCCGTGTAAATTAGATAAAATTCTTGAGATGTTTCCGGAGGAGGGCTGTGATTTCGTGGGAGTATGCGAGGGTCGTGGGTTTGATCTGTACAGTTGTCTTACAGTTGAAATGGCGGTCCTGTCTATCATGGTTGTTGTTGTTATTGAGTTTATTCGCAGATGTTTTTTGCTAGTTAGATGGTGATTGAAATTTAAATGTCCTACAGTTACAAGATCAAGGAAGATTTAGCGAAAACTAAAGATGCAAAGGAAGTAGCCCGTTCTCAGCAGCTAAGAGAGTTATCATGGAAAGTTACTGATATGATTGCTCTGGGTTCATCAGCTGTGAAATAATTTGAGACAAAATCTGCATATCAAATGCAGAGAGAATTGAAGAATAATTTATCTCTTACTGAGGCTGAGTTGCTTTGTGACATGTGCGAAGAGAACATTTCTCATGAAGACTCGTTTTTAATGAATGTTGAAGAAATTTGACCCCATCCACATCCGGCCCTTTTGCCATTTACATCAGAGTTATTGCACATTCTTTGCTCCTTTTACCGTTTTTACTTCTCCTTCTGAGGTTTCGTTATGATGTCAGATTACGACCAACAAGTTGTCAAGACAGGGGTGCAATACTCGAACAGAGTCTTTATTGGCAACCTTCACACACGGATGGCGGAATACGACGTGTGTACGATCATGAGACATTACAAATTCTACCCAGAGGACATAAAGGTAATACGGGACGTTAATGGGTGCAGTAAGGGATATTGTTTCGTGGATTTTAGAAGCGAAAATGAAGCTAAGAGACTGCTAGCTCAGGAGAACATTGAATCCAAGTTCGGTAGAAAGTTGCTGATCAAACCTGCCATTCGCATACGAAGAAAAGAGGTCCTGGTGGTGAAACAACAGACAACTGCCAGCCACGCTCTAGAGTGCAGCGCCTCCCCAGATATGGCCAGTAGGGGTTACCCGTCCCAAGACCACACTCCTACGACCTACACCAGTTGTCACTAAATCAACCTCCACAACTATGTATCCCGAACCACCAGAGGGTGGCAGGATCCAGAGTTTGCTGTCGGATCGTGGAGTAAATAAGCTCAGACTTAATCTCAATCTGGAGCAAGTTACGGAAGCTAACCATGCAGCACCCTGCAACATGTAGTCTCCATCCTACTTCATCCCCAGTCAACCCTCAACGCCTCTTTACCCTCCAGGTTACCAGTACCACAGCCAACCCTCTACACCCTTCTCAGACTACCAGTACCACAGCTTACCCTCAACCCCCTCTCCGAGTTTTTCCCTCCCTACTCCCCTAATTTTGCTCAAGGAGTACAGTCACCTGCATACGGATTTACAGCTCCATTATCGTATGGAAGGAGTGTACCACTGGCATTCTACCAACCTTTCTACCAGAACTCTTACTTCTCGCCGAATCTCCGCTCGCAGACAGGCGCCGGTGTCCCTAATGCCGAGAAGCCACAATCTGCCGCCAGCTCAGTCACTTTGCCTGTACTTAATCAGCCGGTTCCGGCCAGTCAAGGCCCTTCCTCGCTGGGAAACTAGACACAAGACAGATATCTGTTGCCAGAAAAGGAATTATATTTAGGTTACCTAATACGAGACATTTAAATGGTACGAAAGTCGGTGGTTTTTCGAAAAACACCATATTTTCGGACTACCAAAATGTATGTCACCATTATTTTCCCCTAATTATTTTTCACGTATTTTCCTTAATTATGACTTTATCGATTACTATCAAGTTATCAGTATAGTAAGTTATACATATGATATCGGCCGGTTGGTGTAGTGGTAACACCATCGCCACCCAAGCAGAAGACCCGGGTTCAAATCCGGTCGGATGCAAGTTGGCCAGTTACCAAGCTGTGATTTGGTACAGCTTCGGCTGGTGATACACACTCTCTGGCTCGTAGGACTAACCCTCCTACAGCTAGTATAGTGCCTCGGCACAGAGTGGCTTAGGGTTACGGAAAAGGAGATAAGCACCTCAGGCCATCCCAACGTTCGGGAGAGACCTGCCCTTGTATCTTGTTGTACAGTAACACGACTATTATATGCAACACGGGGTCCTGCAAAACTAGATATACTTATAGGGATATCATTGAGATTAATTATACAAACCAAACTTGGTCGGCGTGATATACAAAAACTTGAACAACAGCTTAAAAGCAGAGTTTGCTGACGTTAGTGTTCAAAAAAGGGGCTATAGAATTCTTGTTATTGTTTGTACCCACATAAATTAGACGAATAAAATATGGGACGATTCTAACGGGTTTTTATTTAAGATATGGTTCCAATTTAAAGGGTAAAAATGTTTTTATGGGATATGAGCATTGAGCACATATTGTACTGATACATATTATATTATGTATATTCATTATTTTTGAACTATTAAATCTTGATAATCATTAAAGATCATTCAATCATTCAATCAACTTTTTATTTGTGAATTTTGCGTTATGTGCCCGTACATTATGTACAAATACAATGTGCTCATCGATAGGGAGCGATGAATAGAAAGTAGGATAGAAAGATAAAAACAGGATTTTTTTTTGAAATACCCGTGAATCACTCCGACTAAATAGTGATACAACGATTGAGATTTAGGTTTATTCACACTTCTTTTACTTCCACTTTTACATCAATTATTTTATCGATGAGCACACGTACGCTTAAATATTGCTAACGCTTTGATAGTGTTAATGTATCGTTAAGATTATTTCTAATTATAGGTTCGATATTTTATTTCGTTATGAAGCATTTTGCCGAGCAGTATTTATACAATTTATAAAATATTTACAGTCTTGTTTTAATTTGTGAGTTTCATTTCATTCATTAAAATAACCATTTTTTATAATTAAACAATTTTTCAGTACGTGAACACAAAATATGCACACATTTCCGCTATAAAATTATCATGAAGCATTTTTATTATTTTATTACTATCTAAAACAACTAAATTTTAGAAGTATGGCAAGTAGTAGCAGCAGCGACTCTTCAGAACGGGATAGCTCTCCAGAGAATCGTCCCTCAAAGCGTAAACAAAAATCAGAAAAGAAGAAAACCAGAAGAAAACCTGCACGCGCTGCGAAACAACGTCATGATTCAAGTAGCAGCAGTAGTAGTAGCAGCAGCAGCAGCAGCTCTGGTAAAGAATCACAGAAAAAGAAACGAAGTAAAGTGAAGCAGAAATCGTCCAGTTCTGAGAGTAGTGGCTCTAATTCAGATTCAAGTAGCGGTTCTGCTGATAAAGCTGCCCCCAGCAGAGAACACCGTTCCAGTTCCAGTGGATCTGGGAGAAGGTCCACTCAGAAACATAAAAGTAGAGATCCCCCAGTTAAGATGAGCAGCAAATTTTCACCAAAACATAGAGAATCTTCTTCAGAATCAGAAACAGACACACACGCCAAAAAAGATAAAAAGATGTCCCTCAAAGAGCGAAAACCAGTACAAAATCCTACATCCTCTAAGACGAAGAATGCTGCAGATTCTCCAACCAGTACACAGTCAGACCCTCCCCGCCAAAATACCCGTCACGACTCAGATTCAGACGACAATGAGCGAGTCCTAGAAAACATACGCAGTCCTCCCTCCCCACCTGACGAAGATCCTGGTAGTCCCAATGAGGCCTCGCTGAAAGAGGAAGTGAAACTAGTAGTGAAGGAAGAATCTCAGTCTGATGCTGATGTGAAGCAGGAGGAGCTTTCTGGGGATGAGGTTAAGGAGGAGGAACAGGAGGAACGCCCCAAAACCGGTGTTTTTGATTACGTCGAAAGGTTAGTTTATTAGGTGCAGTGTGCACCCTATTTTGATATATAATTTGTGAACTATAATATTATATCAACGTGGTCAGTTTCGGGCTTCGGCTGAAGATTCAAGTTTCGATCGCTATTTGACACAAAATATTTCAAGACTCGTTAAATTTATTACAAAGAATTTCCGATTAACATCAGATAATATGTTTCAGTGATGATGAAGATGCTGTGAAGATCCTTCCGACAGATGAGGATTTGGGTTGGTTTGCTAAGAAACGTGCTGCCGCTAAAGATTCCACCGGTTGGTTAAAATAAAAGTATCTGAACTCTTTGACCCTAAGATTTTTAGCCATATTCTTGACCTAGCCTGCTAACTGCTTTATAAAGTTAGAAGTTTGGTAGATACTAAATATAATATATATCCTGAAAATTATTATCACTTTTTTTTCTAGGGTAAATAACGGCTCAATGATGGGTGGATTTGTTGATAGCAAAACCAGAGCATATAAGCTCATACATTCCATAATTGTTAATGTTTGGTCTTGATATCATTTAATTGCGTTCGGTGACCAGTCAAAACAATCAGAGGGAGGCGAAGAAGAAAACTCAAAGCGAAGAAAGCGCCACGACACAGATGATTCGTCAGATAAGGACAGTGAAGCCGCGAAGTATGTCCTTCACAAGTATTTTGTGGTTTATCAAGCCCTATAATTGATCTCCTCCGGTAAGGTCTTCTTTGATTTTTATTTTCAGAGAAATCCTACTGGAGCTTTTTACCAGGACATTTAACAGTTCTAAAATTGAGATCGATGCTTTTTGCTAAACCCAAATACACTGCATGGTCTTGAGTTGACTGCGCTCTCTATCTAACATGCTTTCTTTATTTATCTTATTGACTTGAAGCTTGTACCTGCTATTCAGCCTTCGAGTGCTTTCCAAAAATGAATTTTTTTTTTAAATGAAATGTTTTCCCCAAGAAATATAACACTCATCCCGCACCTTAGGACTCCGGTTTATTCACCACCACGCAGTAAAAGCAGATCGGTAACACCCGAAATGGAAACTTTAGCTGGGTATGAGGAGAATAGAGTGGATCCTGGGGAAGAAGGGTATGTGGTTTAGGTTAAGGGGGCAGGGGGGGTCTTTCTGAAATTTCTCTCAAAATTGATTTGATAGTTGTTTCTAATAGAGGGGAGTGATATCTATCTGCTACTTTTGGTCCCATGGAAAAATATTGTTTCTAGCCTAAATTATTGCCGGTCAAAGGTCAGTGCTCATGTGTAATTGTATTGCGCAAGCGATTTTCAATCGTGCGCCCTGAAAATCGAGTCTAAAAATCTATCTCCTCCTACATTTTTAAAGCAATCACCTTGAAACTTTCAGGATATGTTCTAAGGACCATTTAGAAACTTTTGCTCGTTTTAGAATTTCGAGATAGGCCTTTTAAAATTTTTTATTCCATTTTGAAAATCTTGGACCTGGAAAAATCGTCAAAAAAAGAGGTCCAAGATTTTCAAAATCGAATAAAAATATTTTAAAGGCCTATCTCAAAATTCTGAAACGAGCAAAAGTTTCTAAATGGTCCTTAGAACATATCCTGAAAGTTTCAAGGTGATTGCTCAAAAAATGTAGTCCGAGGAGATAGATTTTTAGACTCGATTTTCAGGGCGCGCGATTGAAAATCGCTCGCGCAATACAATTACACATGAGCACTGACCTTTGACCGGCAATAATTTCGGCTAGGAACAATATTTTTCCATGGGACCAAAAGTAGCAGATAGATATCACTCCCCTCTATTAGAAACAACTATAAAATCAATTTCGAGAGAAATTTCATAAAGACCCCCCCCCCCCCCCCCCTGCCCCCTTAACTGTCTATTTTTAATTTTCACAACCACTGGAATTAGGTGTTTAACGCCTGTGGCATATTTAAATGAAATTGTATTCTGTTGATTATAACATATATCTAGTTTTATCATTCAAACAATTAACCAAATAGTGTCCATTTGTTCAGGTCTCCAGATCGAGTAGAAGAAGATTTAGGAGAGTACAAAGAATCTCGTATCGGTACGAACGAACAAAAGTCAGGTGACTGGTTTCAGAAAGGAGATGAAGAGAGTCCTGATAGAGGACCAGTTCATAAACGGCTCGGGAGAAGGGCTGGCAGTGAGGATAGGAGTATCGAGGGAGATGGAAGTAAAGATAAGAGCAGAGATGGAAGTAAAGATAAGAGCAGAGATGGAAGTAAAGATCAAAGTAGGGATCCCAGTAAAGATAAAAGTAGGGAACGCAGTAAAAACCGTGATCGAAGACGAGAAAGAAGTCGGGATAGAGATCATAAACGGGGCCGCAGAGATCGTTCTAGGGACAGGTCACGTGACCGAGACAGGTCACGTGAGAGAAACAGATCCAGGGACAGGAGGGATAGACGGGGTGGGAGAGCTGACCGTGGAAGACGAGATGATGGGCGAGAAGGAGACAGAACTCGTGACCGGATCAGATTCAAAGGTGACCTAAGAGAAAAAATGAACGAAAGTAAAGGCAAGGATGAAGAGAAAGATGGAGCCGAGAAGAAAAAAGATGAAATGCTCCCAAAAAAGCCAAAACCGGGTATCATGTTCATTTATTTGCCGAATATAAACGTACTTCATGGTCCAATATCTTAATATTTTATAATAGCCGCGCTTTAAATATCTATATAATTTACGTTTTAAAAATTATGTAACAACAATTTCAACGTTTTTCAGAGGATAATCCGCTAGCTCTCCGGTCGGGCGGGGCCTACATGCCTCCCCACAAGCTTCGAGCATTGCAAGCCAGTATAACCGACAAAACATCTGAACCCTATCAGAGGCTGACATGGGAGGCCCTCAAGAAGAGTTTGAATGGTCTTGTCAACAAGGTGAGCAGACTTCTGTACTGTGTTGTGATTTTTTAAATTGATTGTTTAATTTGATTATGCACATTTTTAAATGTGGTGTTTGAACTTGATGTATGTACGAATCTTATAGTCGAGTGATCTAATTATGCGGATTTCTAGGTGAACACAGATAATATCAAAGATATTGTTGTTGAGCTGTTCGGTGAGAACCTAGTCCGAGGTAAGGGTCTCTTTATCCGAAACATCATGACGGCCCAGTCCCAAGCTACACCCTTCACAAACGTCTACTCCGCTGCGATCGCAGTTATCAACACCAAGTTCCCGGACATCGGGGCTCTCCTGCTTGACAGACTCATCCTCCAGTTCAAACGGAGTTACCTCCGGAACCAGAAAGCGATTTGTCTGAGCACGGTCATGTTCATAGGACATCTGGTAAACCAGCAGGTGGTGAACGAAATCATCTGTCTGGAAATCCTGACTTTACTCCTGGAGAAAGCTACAGCTGACAGTGTAGAGATTTCTATTGCTCTTATCAAGGAGGTGGGAGCTAAGCTGGACGAGCTGTCTCCCCGTGCCATGCACGGTATATTCGATAGACTCAGGAGTCTTCTACAGGAAGGAGATCTGGACATCAGGGTCAAGTACATGATAGAAGTCATGTTTGCAATAAGAAAAGACAAGTTTAAGGATCATCCGACTTTCGCACCGGGGTTGGAGCTGGTGGAGGAGGAGGACCAAATAACGCATCTCAAGCAACTGGATGATAAAGTCAAGGGTCAGGAGATACTGAACGTCTTCAAGTTCGACACTGATTACGAGGGGAGCATGGCCAAATACCAACTTATCAAGTTAGTGTTATCCTCTTTATGTTGGCAGGACGCCAAGTTTTATTCTAGTGTTTTGTTGTTACTTTTGGCGAAATGTTCTAATATTGACTGATTTTTACATGAAATTTATAAAATCCCAAGTTTTACTTAGACTTTCCAATTCGTAACAAGCTTCCTAACTATTATAACACTATTATGTTTCCAGAAACGAGATACTAGGGTCTGATGACAGTGGTGACGAAGAAGGCGAAGACGACGATGAAAGTGAGGAGGAACAGGAGGAGGAAGGAACGGAAATAATCGACAAAACCGGAACCAACATGCAAGCGTTAAGGAGGACTATTTATCTTACAATTCAGGTTCATCAAGTTCATTATTTATCGCAAACAAGCTTTAAAATTTACAGCACGCACATAAAATCCGAGCTATCATCCGCGTCAGTCGTCACGATAGGCTATAAGACAACCACTGTTTAATGCAACGTTGTATTTCAGAGCTCGTTAGGATACGAGGAATGCATACACAAGTTGGCAAAACTACAGCTAAAGCCTGGACAAGAGACCATCCTCGTGAAGCTGATAATAGAATGTTGCTCACAAGAGAGAAGCTACAAGAAGTTCTATGGGTAAGAATATAACCTTAGAGCAGAACTTGCACTATCTTAGCTAAAATTTGTCACTCTCCATTTATTACAAGAACAGTATTATACCTCTCTTATCATACCCACTGCCAGATTGCTTGGAGAGCGTTACTGTCGGCTGAAGCGAGAGTACATCCCCCTCTACGCGGAGGAATTCCAAGAACAGTTCGAGACGATCCACCGTCTGGAGACGAACAAGCTGCGGAATGTGGCGTGTTGCTACGCGCACATGCTCTACACTGACGCGCTCCCCTGGACCGTGTTCTCGATTGTGCGGCTCACTGAGGCGGATACTACTTCTTCCAGGTACTGTCTAGGAGGAGGGTGCGGAAATATGCGTCATACAATTTAAGATAGTGATTGAACAATGATTAATTTATAGGTGTTATTTTATTGATTTTTAGATTATATTTTTCGACCCCGGTTGAAAAAGACCGGAGAAAAGGCAGCACGGGATATCTTAAACTTATATACACATTTATGTAAAGGTAACATAACCTCACATAACTTTATTTAACCTTTCGCCTTTCAGTCGAGTATTTATAAAGATTCTGCTACAAGAAATAGCGAGTCAGATGGGAGAGAAGAAGTTGAGGGTGAGAATGAAGGATCCCACCCTTCAGGTCTGTTTTGAAGGGCTCTTCCCGCGCGATGATCCCAGAAATACCAGGTTTGTCCAATTTTATTGTTTCCTGTCTTATTTCAAATAAAATGTTTGTATTTTTCTATCGTTTTCTTAAAATACATAATATAATAGTACAGTTATGTAATTTATATCACGCGATAATTTTCTAAAACAGTGCATATGAACTTTTCCAGTCAACAAACCTTACTCTTAAAACGTGTACACTTTACTAAAACTACACTTCAGGTTTGCTATCAATTACTTCACGGCTATCGGTTTGGGCTATCTGACCGAGGAGCTGAGAGAATGGCTAAAAACAGCACCCCCTCCCGCCCCCCTTCTTACTGGACTTGATGATGGTAGCTCCAGTTCCAGTTCAGAGTCAAGTTCAGATTCCAGTAGTTCGTCTTCAGGTACAATGTTTTAGCGATCTCTTGTTCTTGTCATTAGGTTGTGTTTTGTGTGGCTCGAGTAAACTTCATCTTAGAAGACTGTACTATACATTATACAGTTTCTATTATTATTATATACTCTTCTTTATTACACTATAGTAATAGATTACCTTAGAGATCTAGATTAACTATGAATAAGACTAGAATTTCCTCAACAACGCTACACGTATTGCTCAGAGCTAACTTTAAAAGCGCTTGCAGTACAAATTTTTGGCTTGTTTACTTGCATGATATTCCGATAATCATTCTTGAAACGATAATAACCTATCAAAAAATCAAAATCAAAATCAAAAATTCTAGATTTTTCATCAATACTGATTTGAGAACAATAAATCTTACTTTTATTGTTGAAAATATGTTTGTTATAAAATAATGATTTGTTATGAAATTTCGAATTCTCCCAAATAAGATATTATGAAATCATGTTTGTTATGAAAATCGTCCAAAAATGTTGATTAATTAGTAACTGATATAACGTTAGAAAAAAGACCCTCTAAAACACGTCCTGTTCAATTTTTCACAAAAAGTTCTGTGATATACGTCTCCAACGAACTAGTTTGTTCAGCCATCTTCTCCTCGATTACCAATGTCTGTTCGGCGAACTTCTGGAAAACTGTACTGGAAATTGCACCCAATCGTTGTTCTATGCCTCTGAGTTTTCCTTCCCCTTTCTTTGTGTGTGCCGCTAATATATCTTCTATGCCAGTCACTCTGTCGACCAGTGTACCTAATGAATCTCTAATTTCCAGCACAAGGGCTAGTGTTGCAGCAAGATACTGCTCTTTTGGATCCATGATATCAACTTCAGGAGTTGAGTCTCCTAGGACCCTGCTCGGGATCAGGCATGCCATGACCAAGAAATAGACGAATAACATGTCGTAACGATAAAAGTTTTTCTAATCAGCCGAAACCAAAATTGGTCTGCAAACGTGTCGCCCTCATAACTTAATTATAAGTGGTTCTAAGACCTACGACCTACGTGGCGTTATTTTGTGCATAGTTTTTCGTAATTGGTGCACTGATTTATCTGTGGGTTAATTCTTATCAGGGTAAATTCTGAATTAATTCATGACAGGAAATATATTACCGTTCGGGCTGGAAACATAATATAATCTTATTTCTTTAATTAACCGTAAATTTGGTTATCGAAGGAGATTTGCCGGTGGTTTTAAGTATAAGACGATGACCTAATGAAACCTCCATTTTCAGATTCAGATTCGGATTCAGAAAGCGACGCTGAAACTAAAAAGGCGGAGCCAACTGGCATTATTAATACAGCGCCAACTGGATCTAAAAAGGCAGAGCCAGCTGGCAAAGAAACCAGCAAAGAACCATTAGTGTGGGCGTCCAATGATTTTCACCCTTCCAGACGAGCTCCAGGTGAACCAGCTCCCGACAGAAGAAGAGGTGGGGATGGTAGGGACAATAGGAACTATCAGAGTCGTTTGGAAGATAAGTCACGTGGTCGTGATGATCGTGACCAACGTAGACCTCCCCCTCGAGAATCAAATCGAGAGGATCAAACTAGATCTAGAGAAAATAACAGTCCAGAAAGGAATTCTTCAAAAAAGCGCGATTTTCGGAGAGACGATCGAGCTAAGGAGGAGGAGCGACATCAAACAAGTGACGTTGACTCTCCAAGTGAAAGAAGGGGCAAAAAGTCACGCAGGGATATTGTAGAGGTTGAAGAAGAGAGGGAAATACCGCGGAGTAGGAAAGGAAACCAAGAATCTTATCGAAACAAAGATGCATCGCCTGAGAAATCAAGAAGAAGAGAAAGGCGTAGCGTAAGCAGAGATGATTCACCAGAAGAACCAAAAAGAAAAGGGCGTAGTGAAAGCAGAGATGAATCCCGGGAGAAACCAAGGAGAAAAAGGCATAGCGTAAGCAGAGATGAATCGCCAGAAAAACCGAGGAGAAAAAGGCATAGTGTAAGCAGAGATGAATCGCCAGAAAAACCGAGGAGAAAAGGGCGTAGTGATAGCAGAGATGGATCTCGGGAGAAACCAAGGAGGAAAAGGCGTAGCGTAAGCAGAGATGAATCGCCAGAAAAACCGAGGAGAAAAGGGCGTAGTGATAGCATAGATGAATCCCGGGAGAAACCAAGGAGAAAAAGGCATAGCGTAAGCAGAGATGAATCGCCAGAAAAACCGAGGAGAAAAAGGCATAGCGTAAGCAGAGATGAATCACCAGAAAAATCGAGGAGAAAAGGGCGTAGTGATAGCAGAGATGAATCGCCAGAAAAACCGAGGAGAAAAGGGCGTAGTGATAGCAGAGATGAATCTCGGGAGAAACCAATGAGAAAAGGGCGTAGTGAAAGCAAAGATGAATCGCCAGAGAAATCAAGGAGGAAAGAAGGTCGTAGTAAGGGTAAAATGAGGGGTTAATCTGTTAGTGACTTGGGAACTGACTAGTGAACCATTTTGTTGACTGAAATTTATAAATTGCCTTGTTATATCTTTTATTTTGGCAAATTTTTAAGCTTTTATTTAACGAGCATTTTTAAAACTATTATAAAGGTTTCTCTTTTAACTATATAACTGTTGCTGTAGTATGTCTCTTAACCATCTTCCCATTTCGAGACGCAATTGGAACTGAACTTGGAATTGTTGGACAAACTATTTTACTAAAATTCAATGATCGTCGTAAATTATCTGAATGAATTAAAAAACCTGAACTAAAATTCACTGAAATATGTTAGAATTTGTGCCTTATTCAACAAAAACAATAGTAATTTGGTACACAGTCGACTTCGAAGATTAAAACAGGAGTTGCAGCACATTTAATAACCCAACATAACTAAATAACTAATAACTAAATTACAAATTAATTAGTATATGGAAGAGGTGGAGTGTACAGTGGATCTGACTACTCAGGCGGTGGTGGCAGCGTGTTCGTCTGACTACACCCAGGTCAAACAAGCTGAGTCCCTGATACTCAAACTAGAGCTCAAATCTGGGTTCCATCCTATTCTCGCGGTAAGTAAAACTTGTTGAAGATGAGACAGGACATTGAATATTATTGGATCCACGTTGTTAACTAAACTAAATGGTAAATACCCTCTCTTCCCCTCAGCTTAGCTTGATAGTTCATTTGTTTTACAGTTATCAGATAACTCCTGATCCTCTATGATATTACCTTTATCAGGAGATGTCGGTCGGATCCAACGTTCCTGGTGACGCGAGGAGGATGGCTGCCATATGTCTCAAAAACGGGGTCACTAAATTCTGGCGGTCCATGTCACCCAAGTAAGATTAAATTTAGATATAGTTATCATAGAATCTGAAATGTTGTTAAATGATAATTTGTTTTTATAGACTCTGAAAGGTGTTTATGATTCTTTGTTCATTCAGCAAAATATTCAAGACATAAAATATTTAGTGCCCTTTGCAAAGAGGATAAAGATCGGATCAAGGAGGTGATACTTGGCTGCCACGCTGAGGAAAAGAAAGAGGTAATTCAGTGCAGACCAAATTATATTCTGAATGTCCTTTGATAAGAGACCATAATCCATGAGCGACACCATTCATGTGATTGTGCGGTTTAATTTCCGATTTAATTTCCAATTTTCCCATAGGTGTTTGATCAGCTGATAGAGGTGGTAGGAAAAGATATCCAGATACGACTTTCCCAAGAACTGGCCCAATTTCATTCCCACCCTTCTCCAGGTAGATTGGCTGCTGCATTACTACAACTTTTATATTTTAATCTATGTAGTTTTTCAACATTTCAGATATAATCCTCCACTTGCTCTCATACTTAAAATATGATCCTCAAAATGTAGGTGATATTGTACTATAATTTGGTAGAATACGCTTGTGATTCTACTTCTAAAGTATCCGTGTGTACATGATCTTGGATTTAATCTAACTCAGATTACCCTCTTTTTCAGTCCTGAGTTGAAAGCGCAAATGTAGATTCATTATTGTTACCATGGTATAACTTACAAATTTCTACTTAACGTTATTCAATGTTATACCTTTATGGCCTCAGGGGGATCGTTCACATATTACGTAATAAGCCAATTTTTGCCATTTTAGAGGTCCCTCCTACTTCCGTAATCACTTTTACAGATACCTATTGAATGGAAATTACACTACCATTTATTGCAATATATATGTTATTAACACCCACCACTGCTTACGTAATATGTGAATGTTTCCTTACTTAAAACTTTAATACTTACGCGGTTGTTAAAATGTTTATAAAAGATTGTGACCGAATCTGGAAAAACTTCCAAAAACACCATAATATTACATTATGAAGAACTGAACTTAACCTGATCATATTTGTTAAAACCGGTCACAATCTTAACAAGTTTAATCTCCTGGATCCTGAACTCAATTACCACCTGCCAGGTAATTGAGAGTGCCCCCACCGAGAAACACAAGGTTCGAGCGCTGACAATGATCTACAAAGTTGTTAAGATGCTATCTACCAAACGACTATCCGCCGATAAAAAAGGTTTTCGTGAGGTATATATCTTATTTCTTGATTTCTTGTGATATTTCTTATTAGTACTTGTAGGGAGGACCAGCCCCATAAATACTTATTATTCTCTCCGAGTTCAAAATAGGTATAGGTATTTATAGGTACTTATGGGGTTACATTGCTACAATTCGGACATTATACTCCATTATATGTTGGAATATTGTTTCAGACTACAGATGCGATATTTCCGCTTATCGGGGCACTCTGGGAAAACTACCTCCGAATGTTCAATTCTCAGCCCACACTCACATACCTACAGCCTTGCTGCATATCCCTCAAAATTATCCGCTCCATGCTGACATACGGGTTCGAGGACATCTCAGTGAACCTCCCCAAATCCTGCCTGGAAGCCATCCTCAAGATGTCAGTATCACAGCTGGAACACCGGCTCACCATCACCGACCAGCCGGTTTGCCAGCTTTACGACAAGTACCTCCTCGTCATCATCAAGGCTCTGATTAATATTCAGGAGAAGTTTCCGGATTTCTTTGGTCAGTACATCGTGAGGTCGTTAGAGTTCGCGTACAAGGTGGGGTTCCAGTACGCGGAGTTGCTGGAGATGCGGCTTGTTGCTCGAGCTCTTCATCTTCTTAGCGGCATAATGCTGTGTGAAACATACGACGTTTTCAAGCTCAACAATCGGGGGAAACACGTCTCATCGCTCTCTATAAAGTTTACTGACGACCGTAATTCGTTCTTCACCGAAGAACGGTTGAAGGACATGTGTGTTAAATGTATTTCTAAGTATCTGAAACTGTCAGAGTTCGAGCTGCAGAACTGGCAAGAAAGTCCGGAAGAGTTTGCCTTTGAGGAGACAAGACACGTGTCCCTCTTCAATATTAAAGCCGCGTCAGAACATTTTCTTCTGAACATGACCGCCACCTTTCAGGACATCGTGTGTCCTTATATCGTGGAACTTATAAAGGAGTGTACTCAACATGATAGATCAAACTTAGAAACAGTGCTCATGATAGACAGTATATATTCTATAACCGTTACCTGTTCGTACGATCTGTTTGACCACATTGACATAGATGTTTGGTTTGCCACCTTGGTAGAAGAGCTCGTGCAGGAGACTCCCTACTGCAGCATCCTCCGGAGACGCATCCTAGAGGTGATAGGGAGATGGGTGACAATCAAATTGTCCCAGGATAAACACCCGGCGGTCTATGAAGTTTGTCTGCAGTACATGGCAAGCTCTCAGGATCTGGTTGTCCGTCTGACGGCCGCGACTGCCCTCAAAGCGGCGGTCTCCGACTTCGCTTTTTACCCGCCTTCTTACAGCCCATACTTGGAGGTCACCATGCAGTTGTTATATTCTCTGCTCAGAGAAGTTGAAGAGTGCGAGTCAAGAATTAAGATCCTGGAGGTTGTCAACTCCATCATTGATGGGTGTGGTAAACAGGTTAGTCTGATATCTTTATTCGTTCTTGCCCGCAGATAGGGTAGGTTGTGAATTGTTATTTGTGATTGAGAGATTGAGTCATGCTAAGAAACGTAAGATTTTCATCAATTAAAAGTAGGTATTATAAAGCCAATGGCTTTTCAGATAGTTGATTTCGTGGACCCATTAGTAGGGTGGTTACCAGGGCTGTGGGGCGTGGCCACCGAACACTCTATGCTCCAGTCCCAACTTTTGACCACTGCTAGGAAACTGTCCCGCTGTCTTGGTCCTATGAGTGTAAAGTTGTACGGCTTCACTGATCCGGTTCTTAAATACGTCCTTACTCAGGTTTGTCTTTATTTTCACGGTTGTTTCGTTGGTGGGATTTGAATATTTTGGTTGATTATAATTAATCTAACCTTTTAAGAGCGATCGGCACGTGTATATTTACTGTGACACGTGTATATTTACTGAGACTATCCACTATCCACTCTCTTTGGTTTTGTTATAAAATTATAAAATGCTCTCTACAATACCAGTCAGAATTGTTAACAATTAAAGTTCTTAGTGATTGAAAAACGAAGGGATTCGTGGTGTATTTGCAAGCTTATTATTGAACGAATTAGATTCCGTGCATCAGTTATCTTTTTCCACATTCCTGTATAATCACTTTTAAACCCTTTTCACAGGACCCAGAGATGATATTACTGGAGGATGGGATAGGTTTGTGGCTCCAACTCTTGGAAAACGCCCCCTGCAGCACACCTTCCTTCGTCCAAATGTTTGAATGGTTGTACCCCCTTCTTCAGCTTGGTAGTGACTCACTTAAGACTTCTTTACTTATAATTGAGTGTACTATTTTGTTAGACCCTCCGGCTATAATATCAGTAAGTCTGGGGAGCTGCGTAGTTGTTCTAGTGTTCCATAAACTAATGATATGTGAGATTTTATGACCTTCATTTTTAGATTTCTTCCCCAAATTTAATATACAATCAATGAAATCAAGTTCCTTTCTATCTTAGTATGCATCATTTCTATTTCTAATCTTAACATTCGGTCTCTTATCTCGATGTAATTATATCTTTGTATTATAAACAGTGAATTATCTCCAAAAAATCGAGAACATTTCCATGACGATAGTAATATTTCAGAGGTACGGACCAGGACTTCTATCGGCCTGTGTATCACTTTACCCTGAGGTAGTAGGAGAAGCCAAGGTGCTCATTAACAACATCCTACTGGCGGTTATAAAGACTGTTCCCAGGGACCAGTGGCCTGACCTCACTCCGTTACTTCACGTCTTGCTCAAAAGTCTGGACGAATTTTCAGACTATTCCAAGGTTTAGGATGATTTTTTTGTGTGATATGGATTCAGAATATGGATTGTTTTTATTGGCTACTAGCATGGAAACTTGATTATACTATTTGGTGATTTTATGATCGAATTACTTTCACCTTTAGATTTTGGTCGATTTGAACCGCTTTGATATACATTATACAATTATGATATCTAAATTTGGAAACATTTTTTTGCAGGTTTTGACAACAAATATCAACGTACTGTGTTACCTAATATTATTAGATCTGACGTACTTCAACAATCTAATAGCTTCTTTCAACAACAAAAACCTACTTAAAAACATGTTAGAGGTGAGTAAAATGGTAATTGTTGTAGCTTTTCACAAAAAAACTCCATAAATATATTTGATCCTGATACTTTATCCATTTTGCTTGATCGCTTCAATTGCTTGCTTTCGTATACACGCTAAGATTATTAAAGTCTTACTTACTTTTACTTTGGGCGATCTCCGATCAAAACAAATTCTTACACACCAATTTTTCCAGATTTGGACGTCCAAAGCGGAGCACTTTTACCAGATGGAGCAGCACAAGTTGTCGCTGATAGCTCTGCTCACTTTATTAACGTACAACCCTGACCTTATCTCACATCATTTTGTGTAAGTATCTCAAAAAAGTTCACACTCTCATTTATCATGTTGGTTGATTGGTGGGGAAATGTGAAATTACAATCGTGTCCTAACTCCTAACGCGAGGATTTATAAATCATTGTTGTCTCCAATTTTTGTTCCTCATTTGAGCACCATAAAAATCTACCACCTACAAACATTGCCAGGAACATAATGAAGTTGATTGAAAAAGCGGTAGGAAAGTGTACTGATGTGGATGATAAGGGGACAAGGTTCGATTGTATACTCCGCAAGCATTCCTCCCCCGCAGATGAGTTTATTACTGGAGGTAGGTAACTTACTGGCTCCGACAATTAGATTACTGATTAAAAACTCTACTCTCGAACGAAGAAGTTTAACTCAGCAAAATAAAACTTACTAACTAACTTTACCTTAAATTGGTGTAGGTGAGACGGAAGACTACAAACGCAGGAAGATCCTGGAATCAGCGGATCTGATAGCCAAGATAGACACTCTCACCTTTCTGCGAGCCAAGTTTGCAGAACTACAACATGCTGTGGGGGCCGAACTTTTCACCAAGCTCTCCCAGGGGGTAGATAGAGAAATTACCGATAAGCTTTCCAACTATCTGGCCTGAAGGGGCAACATTCCCAACATTTCATTTTATCATTTTCAGCGTACTTATATAGTTATATTAGTACTTAGTGTACTTAGTGTACTTTTTGTTGTTTTTGTCTAATAAAATCGACGGGGAATGTACGCAACAAAATGCTTTGGTTTCATGCGGGTCCTTGAAATTGCGCTCTAACTTCTAATCTGTACAGAATTTTATGAAACATTTACTTTCATCATTTTGCTCTGGATTTCTGCTGTTATATTTGAATTTGTGTTTTTATTTTGGATTTTATACACACAAGCGTATAATTGTCTTTCTTGTGATAGTCGGAATTTTCCTGATATCTAAAAAACTTATTTATATTTTCCTGATTATATCTAAAAAACTTAATGCGTATGGCATGTAAACATAACAGACAAATATTCGTTTTCTAAAGAATTTAATTCAGAAAGCCATCATGGTTGAGAGTGTACTCCCCCCTAAAAAGCCTATCCTGAGCCTGATGGGCAGGAACCTCCCAAAGAACATAACCAGGTATGCTTGTAGTGACTTCAGTGGGTAATATGTGGTAGTATGTGGTAATATGTGGTAATATGTGTTGTATTAAGCACATTGACCTGACTCAGTGACTCATGAGTCATGATTTATAAATTGAAAATAGTATTATAACCGCTAAGAGTATTCTAACCGCTTAAGATAAAGTTTGAAGGCGGATGAATCATTTATCTCTCGCGTAATTGATAAATTAACAAATTAGCGCATTATAATGTAGACTCAACAAAACCAAATTTAACTTTCTGGATAATATAACAACAATGTCTCGACCAATTTCAGTTTGAAGCCACTGGCTATCTGGGGTCTAACAGCCACCTGTGCTGTGTGGTGGATCTTCGACTACAAACCCTTCGTCATGAGAATCCCCTACTACAGAACCAAGTTTGATCATGAGATCCCCACGGGACCTCTGCATTGAGTTCCAGTCAACTGGTCATTTGGTGGGTCGGACGATGTGGCGTGGTCAGCTTCGGTTGTTAACTTATTTAAATCATTGTACATTATTCTCGGACACAAACTTGCATTGTAGGCATTTTATAAGCGCAGCTAAATTAGTTAATTGTAGTTTAAATGATACTGTTTGTTTCATATTACTATTCCATTGAGATTTCCTGGTGAAGCGTGCTTTATTGTATAGTAAAAATATTCCACTTGAAAGTTAAAGTTTACTCGACAAATATAATTGTAACCTAAAACCTCGATCTAAATCTACTATCTAGTTGATATATTCCAAATTAAATAAATTTAAATAAATTTAAATAAATTTAAATAAATTTAAATGAATTTAAATAAATTTAAATAAATTTAAATTAATTTAAATAAATTTAAATAAATTTAAATAAATTAAATAAATCATCAAGCATTCCTATATCTAAATATTTCCCCGCTTTAGCGATGAACTAGCTCCCTTCTGCGTGTCCTAATCTGTCCGGAACCAATCATCATCATGAACTGTGTAGTGCGGAGGGGCGTGGTCACACTGGCTCAACACCGTCCTCTGATAACATTCCCCGTCCGGACACCACTAACCCCCGTCCTTCCTCCACCCCTCACTGCCGCACAGCTCAACCAAAATGTTTGTTTTACTTTTTATTGTTGGCTTACATCGCACGTTTGTGTGGGTCACCCAAATAAATCAGTCCTTATTTTCATTACTTGTAACGATTGCTGGGTGTTTTGGTTTTTGAGTCTGATAAACATTACACATCACTTATTGCTGTGCAGGTACCGGCTGTTGAAGACGCGAACTTCTCGACTAGAGTAGTGTTGGATGAGTTACCTCTCCGATACAGGCGGAGACCGTTGGAAGACCTTGAGATAAACTGTATAAATGTGAGTAGATCCAAATTTCTCCATTATAATTTTATTCGAGAACAATTATTGTTCGAACATATTCCTTTTGATTCTTTAGCCTTGATTAGTCAGTCTTAAAAGTTAAACTATGGAAAAATTGGAAACCATTATGCCACATAACATTTCAGATGGGAGGTCCTGAGTAAGACAGCTCAGATAAAAGATACAAACTTATATCTTATAAGGGTTCTATATGAAATACTGCTGACACAGGCCGGGTTTCCTTTGAGAAGACGCTGAGTCGAGAACGGCGAGCAGTCACTAAGTAGTCTCTATTATACGCAGCTTTAAAAGACATTATTTGTAAATATTTCATAGAATGTCGGATTTTTTTGGAGGAGTATTAATGTGAATTGTTATGTTGTATTTATTTCCATAATATAAAGTCCTAGCCTAATAATTAGTGATTTAAATTTAATTCGATAATTTTCTACCTCGAGTCTCTAAATTTCGCCTATAAAAACTGATCAGAACTTTCATTTCAGACACTACCATTTATTCGCTTTGTTTACCTTCCATGCACTTCGTTGCTTTATTTCTGATTTCAAAACCCTAATGCCATGAATTTGGCATTTAACATGTTTTACATTTCCAACATTAGGCCATGTCGCTACCGAAAAACAACTTGGCGGAGCAAATGGCCCTGCTCCAGAAGAAGAATCTGAAGAGTATGCTAAAGAGGAAGCGCCAGAGTGACCCCCTAACATCTCAGTCTAAACGTCCTAGTTTCGGGCTGAGTACTTCATCGTTACCCAATACCCCACCTCCCTCCTCTTCCTCTTCTTTTCTTGGGTCTAACAGAGGTTTTGGACGGAGCTCGTTGAGTTCGGAGCGACTCAAGTTGTCACCTAAACCAGAAGACATTTCCCCTAAATCAGGTGTTATAAATCTGTCTGATGATGAGAAACGGGCCATAGCGATCCCGGTTGAAGATGACGATGACGATGATTTTGAGCCACTTAGACCTTCACAGGCAAAAATAAAGAAACCTACTCCTCCAAAACTAACAAACCGCAGCATATTTGATGAGGTCCCCTCTCGCTCTTCTAATTTTATATTCGGTGGTGAGGATGATATACCTCCTCCGCCGCCTCCACCGCCACCTCGAAAATGTGATAACACAAGAACTCAATTCAACATTCGTGCTGACGAACTTTTTGGTGATGACGATCCTCCACCTCCTCCACCGCCGCCAAAAGCTAAAAACACAAGAACAGTATTCAATATTGGTGATGACGAATCTTTTTCGGGACAGAAAGTTACTGTAGATCCAGTAAAAGAAAACGTAAAGAAATCACTAACTTCAAAAGGGAGCTTGTTTGATACGACCTCTGAATACGACATGTATGATGTCGCAACATCTGGATCACCGGTAAAAAGTGAAAGAAGCCTTGCTGAAACCATCGCAGAGTTCGGCCTGCTTGAGAAGAAAAACATGTCCACCCAAAAACCAGCAACACATCAATCGAACTTAGTCAAGCAACAAACAACCCTGACTTCAAGACTTAGCTCCCTGACTCGACAACCTAGTTCCAAATTATTAAGTCCCGAGAAGAGTACTGGTGTTATGGTCAAGGTACAGCCTACCAAGGGGGTCAAGAAAAACGTGGTCGATATAGAACTTGAGGACATCAGAGATGCTAAAAATGGTTAGTTTTGGTTGGCATTATTTAGTAAATGTTGATGCTAAACGGTGTCGATAGTTATCTTCAATTTAATGTTATTTTGTAATTTGTGTTGTTTTGACTATTCTGAATCTTCATCAGTTATTGCTGAGTTGTGGTAATTATGTCAGATCCTGTGGCTTTACTGTTTAATGTTCCATTTCTTCTATCTCAACATTTCAGACCGATTGATCACGTCAAGATCTGACAATTATTTACGTGTTTGTGAAGAAATCTGCGAGTTGGTGGGTGATGGGGTGCAACCTTTCAAACCTGTCGTTCTGAATAGGATAAAATTTCTGCAGAAGAAAAGGTAAGCTCTAATTCATCTTCAAACCTATATATCTATATACCTATAACTAGCTTTGAGATTTTAATTTCAATTCGAGCTTGAGTATTGAGAATATTTTTGTTCATAAATAGCCAAATCTATCAAGGTTACAGCTGCAGACTACAAAAGAGGAATCTCCAAAGAAGGATTTATCGAAGACATGTGATGATATTTTCGAGCGTGAAACACCTCCTCCGGATATCAACTTTGAGGACTCCTTCATACCCACTGTAATTTAACTTCACAATTCTCCTTCATACCCACTGTAATTTAACTTCACAATCCTCGGCCGATTTGCTCAATGTTGTATATTTTGAGTCTTACTTTTTAATCGAATTTATGGAAGATGTAACTGAATGCTAATGAATCATGGCAGTCTAATGGTAAATTTTATCAACGTGACATTTATTGTGCTCACAGCATCACTTAATCATTTTAATATATTATCAGTCTACATATTTAATTTCATGTTATATTCGTATGATTTGTTGTTATTGGATAATATGCCTCTTTATCGGACTACCAGTGATAATAAAGATCGTGATATTTAGAAAGATTTTTATAAAGATACTGATACTGATAGCTTCTTTTCTCTGTCCTCAGGACAGATTTGAGACCCCGGATCAGTTTGAGGAGGAGCAGCTGGATGACGGATATCCTGAGGAGGATCACTTTATCGAGCCCCCGCAAAATCACCGTAAGATTCGTTCTAAACAAAGGTTTTAGGCTGACTCAATAATTTCACATAAAGACGCTAATCATAAAATCTAATGGAGACACTTCGTTTTCCTACTTTATAGTTATTCTCAGTCTCACTGAAGAGTGTAAGATTATCTCCAACTTACCATCAGTGCCATCTGATGAGGAGGAAGAGGATCCGTTTAGTGACGATGGTTTTGATGACGAAATACTGTCCCGTGTAGCAGAGGAATCTCTGGCAGCCAGCCAACAAACCTGGAACAGCGCCAGCTCAGCAAGTTCAGCGGGCCAGATGGCTAACCCTTATAATGGAGAGACATCTTTCACTGCCACACAACTTACTCACAACACAAAGGTTTTTAATTTTTATACATGGACATGGTTGAATAATTTTTAAGGATGTTCTGGTAAACAGTTGGGATTGTTCACCAAAGAAGCTATACACTTAAGTCAAGTACACTTATGATCTGATATTTCCAATAGTTATCCTATTCAGATTTCGGATCATGAAGAATTGGCAAGGACAGACTTCTCATTTTCAAGAAAGCTGCTTCAGGGATTCAAATCTGTATTTGGACTACGTAAATTTAGAAAAAATCAGCTCGAATGTATGAATGCTACTCTTCAAGGTAAATCGTTTATTTTTATCAGTAGAATTTCCGTTGATTTCCTTATCACAACACGTTTTAATGATGAATTGAATGAGACAAATTATAACGAATAAGCATGAGTTTCTGGACATTCTCTTTCAGGGACGGACTGTTTTGTGCTGATGCCGACGGGAGGTGGTAAGAGTTTGTGTTACCAGCTACCAGCACTCATCAAAGATGGTGTTACTATCGTGGTATCACCTCTGAAGTCCCTCATTCAGGACCAAGTTCAGAAACTGGTCGAACTTGGGGTTAGTTGTCAGTCTTTACGTAATAGTCATTAACTTTGACTGTATCCAACGTAAAACTTTTACCAATTTTGTGAACTTAAAGTTGCACTAATATCTGAAAAAGGATAATACATTTTGTAACTGTCCCCTGTCCTCAGATACCAGCATCTCATCTTAGTGGTAACCTGACGGCAGGACAGGCAATGCAGGTAATCAGAGATCTGAACAGTAGAGAGCCCCAACTTAAACTCCTCTATGTAACTCCGGAGAAAATAGGATGTTCAACTCAACTCCGGGAGTGCTTTAACAGTTTATACAACCGGAACCTATTGAATAGGTATATCAAATATTGATTTTAGTTTTTTGGTGGCCAGTATATAATATATTAGTTTTTTTTTTCAACCAGTATATATTATCATATTACTATGATCGGTACACCAGTTTTAACACAATTTTTAATTTATTTTAATTAATTAATTGTAAGAAATTTACTTTTTCTGACACCTGTCCCGCAGGTTCGTGATAGACGAGGCTCATTGTGTGTCCCAGTGGGGTCACGACTTCAGGCCGGACTACACCAAGTTAGGTTCACTGCGGACCAGTTACAGGAATGTTCCGATAATGGCGCTCACTGCAACAGCCGCTCCTCGGGTCAGAGCTGACGTTCTTCACAACCTCGGACTCAACGACTCTAAAGTGTGAGTACACCACGTGACTCTAAAGTGTGAGTACACCACGTGACTGCGTGACCACGCGGTATTTGGGGAGTGTGAGAAATGTGCAAAAACTGTTTGTTTGTTTTTTTCCTGGAATAAGATGTCTCGTTATTGATGTTTAATTCTTTACAAGACACATATTTTTTTTCAGGTTTATCACCAGTTTTAACCGAGCGAATTTAAAGTACATCATCACTCCAAAACCGAAGAAAACGTACTTTGAGGGAGTGCTCGAGTTGATCAACAGGTCGTACAAAGGGCTGTGTGGGATTGTTTACTGTCTCTCCAGAAATGACTGTGAAAATGTAAGAGTAGATTACAGTTAACATGACGTTGAGCGGGTATTCCGTATTAAGAGTGCAAATAACTGGCTACACAATCCAATTATCGTGTTGTTACTTTTAGTTAATTTCGTTAAATTGATAGCACATTTTCAATACACATGTTAAATTGTGTGCATTTTTTATTTACCAATTCTCACAACGTTCCAGTATTCATTAAAATGTCTATGCAGTGTGCAGATTTTCTGGCTAAGGGAAACGTCAACGCTCTGGCTTATCACGCAGGCCTTACTGATATACAGAGGTGTCACACTCAGAAAAAATGGATTGACGACGAAGTTCAGGTTAAATCCTCATTTTGAAATGTTCTTTGAAGTTTTTTATAAGAGTTTATCGGCCATTTTTATACTGGCATCATATGTTATCGAATTCTTGAGAAATCCTATAATTTCGTTCCAAGACAAAATCAAACACGATAAATTTTTTCATGTGGAAATATTTCCATTTTTACCATAATTATAATGTCGAAAATCAATAAATTATAATTTATCATACAAAAATAAAGCCGATGATACCAAAGGCAATTTTTGGAGAAAAAAAAATAACGATAAAAATGGCTTCAGTACTAGTAGTGTCTAGAGGAGAGCTTCAAAATAAGATATGAGCTCTGGAGTTATTTCTTGTCCCACAAAATTCCTCAGAATTTCCCATTTGCTGCATCCTGCGGAAATCTCCTCAACCTTGCCGTAACGTTGGGCGTCCAGGAAATCCTCCCAGTCGATCACCACACCTTCTGAAGGGGTCGGGTAGTTGCAAATCCCAGCTTTGTACATATCTTCTACCTCAGCTCCTGAAAGTTTCCTTTTAAAGACTTGCAGTCCGTAGATTTCCCCACCAAACGCTTGGTTGAGAGCAAAACCACCCCCAGGAGTATCTTGTTCTTGGCCGAGAACTAATGTACCGCCAGTCGGAAGCTTGCTGTTTGCTGCCGATATCCTCTCTGAAACTTTGTCCCCGTTTAAGTAAAGTTCCTCGTACTGGCTTCCTGCGTTCCATGAGAAACATGTGTGATACCATGTGAAGGTGGTGAGAGGTTTAGTATAGTAGTCTGTAGGCATCGGGTTTCCAAGAAAATGCTGCTGGTTTACTTGATTCCCGAATAGTATTTGGTTGTCACCACCACCTGTAGAATGCAGATTTAACTATTTCAAATAAAATTATATTTTACCCTGACCAGTGACCACTGACCAATACGCAGTTTTTCAATTTCCTAGTTATTTTGTTCTTGTACGTTCAAGTAAACATCCCCCAATCAGTAGTTGTAAGAATGAAAACAGTAAAAATACCTGTTGCGTAGCTGAACCAATAACGTCCCCCTTCAGTCCGATAGAATTGGACCCATCCGCAAATAGTCAGTTCCTCCTGAATATCATTGAAATCTGGCTGGAGCATCACATAGTTTTCAAGAGAAACTTCTCGTGGAAACTGTAAGACTCTGTTGAACCCACTGCCTTGAGCAGTGGACACAATCAGTGTAACGATGCAAAAGAAAACCTTCATTTTCAGTAATGAGTAGATGTGGAGAGTTGCTCGCTCTTGAAATCGGCAGTCGCACTTAATTGAGTTTAAAACATATTATCAGTGAGACAGATTACGCGTGGGAGAATTGTCCGGAAACGTTGTGGCTGGAAAAAGAGGGGTCCCCTAAGATTGTGACCCTTCGAGAAGAACGACAAAAACAAAGAGATTTATTCAGATGAAAGTAACAAGTTTCTACTAGCCCCCCTCCCCCCCCCCCCCCCCCCCCCCCCCACCCTCATCTCATATTCTCGAGTCAGAGATCTGTGCACGATAATTGATTTAAAAAGTAATAGGTTGCACTCCCACATTCCTCTAATGTCTTGTCTCAGATCATAGAAGGAATGTCAAAACCAAAACAAGGAAAAAGATTTTTCTAAAATAATTTTATCAATTCTGCGCTGACGTCAATCATCAATCCTCGCAGAAAATTCATTCCATTTTTCATCTAGAACCTTCTTAAAATTATCTCTCGGCAGGTGGTGTGTGCTACAATAGCATTCGGTATGGGAATAGACAAGCACGACGTGAGGTACGTTATTCACCACACGTTACCTAAGAGTGTGGAGGGTTTCTACCAGGAGTCAGGGAGAGCTGGTCGTGATGGTGATCCTGCTGACTGTATACTACTCTACAACTACTGTGACGTCGCTAGGATCAAGAAGCTCATATTTTCTGATGACGGGCAGGGCAACTGGGAGACGAAGAATGTTCATCTGGACAACCTGAATTATATGATACAGTTTTGTGAGAATAGATTGGATTGTAGGCGGACACAGCTACTCATATATTTTGGTTGGTTCCTGTTTATTAGATATCTAGATAGTCGAATGAAAGTTAGATATTGACTTAATAATAATATCGGAGAGGGATTTTCTAATGTATCAACTTTGTGACAGTTAATGTTTTACAGGAGAAGAGTTCTCAGCAGAAGAATGCAGAAAAGTTCGCCGGACCACCTGTGACAACTGTGTATCACGTGGAAAGTACGCTGCAAAAGACCTCTCATCCGATGCTCAGACGGTCGTTAAATTAGTCAAAGATTTTGGAGGAAACAGCAAATTTACTTTGATTCATTGTTGCGACGTTTTACGGGGTACCGACTCCAAGAAAGTGACTGGTTCAGGGCACAACCGAAACGTGGCGTTCGGAAAAATGAAAGGACAGAAACGAGTGGTAATAGAACGATTAATGAGACGATTAGTCTCAGACAACGTTCTCAAAGAAACAATAACTGTAGGATTTCACGGAATGGTGGTAAGCTATGTTCAGCTTGGTAAGAAGGCTCAGGACTTACTCTCAGGGCGGTTAAAGATCGTGATGGATGTTGAAGTTACTCAGAAGAGAGTGAGTGTTGCTGCTGAAACCAAGTCTAACCCTGCGGTAGACAAGGTTGTGAAGTGCTGTTACGATGCCTTGATACAGTGCAGGAAGGACATAGCAGCTGAAAAGAGGGTGGCGGTTCACAATATCTTGTCGAGTGATACTCTCCACGAGATGAGTGAAGTCAGACCCCACACCGTGGAGCAACTTCTCAATATCACCGGAGTCACTCAGCTAAAAATAGACTTTTATGGAGCAGAGTTTTTGAAGCGACTGAAAAACTTTCCACCGGGAAAACCTCGTCCAACCGCTCAATCAACCGCTGATTTAATCAGCTCGTCGTCGTCAAACTGGATCAACACTAGCGCACCTGCTCCTTCGAACATAAGTAAAACAGGTCGAGGAAGAGCAAGGAAACCACGGAAATCTGTTGCACCTGCTAGGCCGGGTAATTTTGATAAGTACAACTACAAGACTCCGAGTAGTGCTGGCTCTGGTAGCAGCAAGACTGGCTCTGCTAGTTACGGTCGTGGTGCTGCAACGAACTCGAATCAGAATGTGGGATTCATGCCCATGCCCCAACCAAAAAAACCTAAGGTTAATAGTGTCCACAGACGGTTATAAGTTTTTATTACTTATAGTATTCAAAACTATTAAAGTAATGTTTGACTTAGATATTCGGGACAATAATCCCGTATTTCTCCAATTTTGTATTTGTTTTATCACACAATAATTTTTTTAATTAAGTTGTTTCATTTATTTTGTTATGTGTAATTGTGATGTACGGTGTTACGGGAAGAAATTGACCCTGATAAGATTATGTTGAATTCATCGTGTGGTATGATAATGTTGGTAATTCGATCATCGCGTCGATGCCAACTCGTTCTAGCTTGATATGACGGATGATATGACGGATGATACTTTTTTACACCATACATAAACAAAGTCAAAAGTGTAGTGTAAAATTTAAAATAGCCCAAAAAGGATGATGATCAATCACTGCAGTACACGTGACTTTTTAAACATGTTCTCTTCGTGGCCCTGAATGACTATTAGAAATCCTAGACCTATGATCTGATCCTAACCCTAACCCAATCTCTAACAAAAAGCATATGCTGAAACCCTGACGAAAAATTAGACCAACTTCCTTATATGATCTTATCACGTGATTGAGACAGTTTTCCCCAAGGGAGCATTTTAACCATATGTCAAGAGGGGGGCTCGGAATCAGCGTCCGAAAATACATTGATTCAAGTTGGTCTCAAAGTCAACTGTCGGGGGCCCTTTTAAGAATCTCGAAGGTCGACTGTAGAGTGATTTGGCACGCTCGGTCTTAAAAAGTGTAAAATTAAAAAGGTGACATTTGTTGCTCACCAAAGGTATGTTTTATTTTTTGTAAATGTATTATATGAAGACTGATTTAATTGGAAAATAATAGAAAAAAAGAAGATTTTTAGAAGACAATTTGGTTAAATGTGATTAAAAGTGTAAAAAAGTTAACCTTTTTTACTACACTTGCACTTTTTACTACACCATACACCAAAAAAGGCAGAAGTGTACTTGTAGTGAACCACCACCCAAAACAAGGTTATTAAAGCTCAGGAGAGGAACCAGTTTTATGAAAATTTTACAGAGGATCTCTCAAAAACAGTTCAGGACTCAATACAATCAGAGATTAAGATTAAGAAATCGTACAGCGAAGCAGCCAGTTCACAAGTTGCGAGCAGTCTCAGCCCTGTCATCTCCAATCTCACAGGAAACTCTTCGGACAGTAGCTAAACAGCTTGTAGTAGAGGAGGAACTAAGCAAAAACATTATCAATTACAGTCTTTAGTTTGCCGGAGGAAGATAACGAGGATTTCATTGTATCACGTCGCGACCCCCATTGTAGTTTCACTAAGTGGTAGTAGTAATAGTATCGTACATGGCACGATACCTAGCCGCGCACTCGTGCGCAGAAGGTCTACAACGTATGTGGTATGACAACTTGTTACACTCTTGCAATGTGCTGAAGGCCCACATACAGCTCGACGTTATCTGTTATCGTGCTACACGATCTGTGCCAACTCATGGCGTTTATTACATAGACTAATAACAACTAAAATGTTGTATCACGGTCGTTTCACTATGGTTGAAGTGGAAAGTTTCTACGATACAGGTTACCTGAGGACCCCAGGCTATTATGTTCATTAACATGAATAACCGAATAAAGATTTGGCGGAATGACAGGCTGAGCGCGGCCCAGTAACGATACAGGGGAAGCCGCGCACTCGTGCGCGGCGGGTCATACAACTAAAATGCTTCTGCGCGTATTAAGTAGTGCATAGTTGTATCACGTGGTGACGCCCACGGTCGCTTCACTATAGTTAAGTAGTAGTAGAGTTTCGACGATACAGGGGGAGCCGCGCACTCGTGCGCGGCGGGTCATACAACGTATGACAAGTGCATAGTGCATATGTAAGAAATTTGGCAAAAACTCTTGCGCGCGGAGTGACAATATTCAAACTTCAATTAAGTATGTCAAGTGAGTACCTTTCGGAAAGGAAAAATTGAGACTAATATATAATAAGACCAATTTCGAATTGATTTTATACGACTGCAGAAAATCATTTGACTGTTGACGGATGTTACTATATATATATTACTCCTCTAAATTTCCTCGAAGTAGCGCTCGCCGCTTTCTTCCCGAGGCAAGTGCTACGAGGCAAGCAAGCGCCGGGCTAGTCCAATATTAATAGACAAAAATCATTTGACATTAAAGCATTGCTCTAACCAGAGCCCTCTCGCAAGCGCGTCACGCAGTACCAAGTACGCGTATACACATGGCTATGTGAAATTAAAGCAAGAAAGAACAAATTTTGCATTTGAACGGTTTTTCGAAATTTGGCCGGGTTATTTTCTGTAGGTTTACAACCTACCAGGACGCGCGCCGAGTTGGACTCGTCGACGGTAAAATATGGAACAGATATTTTACGAGTATCACCCGTTAACCCCCCCCCCTGACAGCAATATTACGTAATCATGGCATGACCCATCCCCCCCTACGGTGTACGAAAAGGGGCCTTACCACTTACGAAGAAAATATATGCTTTTTTAAAAAATATATACTTTTTCAAAAAACATATATACTTTTTAAAAAAACATATATACTTTTTCAAAAAACATATGCTTTTTGAAAAAGTATATATGTTTTTTAAAAAAGTATATATTTTTACCGCCGTGAGGCGGGCGCGCGCTACTGCAAGCGCAAGGGCTCTGGATAGAGCAAATTCTAGAGGGTAAAAAAGAGAATTTTGATTACGTAATCAACGACCAACCCCCCCCCGCGTAATCAACCGTAAGCATTCGGAAACCCCCCTCGGCTGATTACGTAATACATAATATCAATATGCGAACGACCCCTTACGATACAGGGGGAGCCGCGCACTCGTGTCATACAACGTATGACAAGTTAGCCTCACTTTACCCTCCATTAAAAGGGATCGGCTGGGCCGGCCTTGTCATACGTTGTATGACCCGCCGCGCACGAGTGCGCGGCTCCCCTGTATCGTAGAAACTCTATAGTGAAGCGACAGTGTGGGTCACCACGTAATACAAGGCCGGCCTTCGACCTAGAGCATCCATCTCATGTATTTTAAGTCAGAGGATACTTTGATTAAAGGTATTATTATAATATAATTCAAAAATTAGAAATTTCATTGTTAGCCTAATTTTTCCCTCAGTTACAAAAAAAATGTTAAAAAATGTCCCTCTTCTCTTCGGATTCTGAAAAAGTTCGATTTGATGAATCGATTAAACACGTTTAAACTTTTATTGCATGCTTGGGAGCTGTTATTAGAAAACAAAATGTAAAACGACTCATTAGCCTCAATTTGTCCTCGACTAAGTGCTTCAAAAATTTTACTAATCGAAACTCAATTAGTTGAACATGTGAAATCTTTGATCTTACAAGTTCTTCCTGTGACAATCTTCTAAAGTGAAACTGGGAAAAACGTGGTCCATCTCGTGCGAACTTTTCTGATGACCAGGGTCCACAACTTTACCTGAGGACCCCAGGCTTTAATGTTGGTAAACAACAGATTTATAGAATAGAGATTAGGCGGAATGACAGGCTGAGCGCGGCCCAGTAACCACAACTCGGTTAGATTGTGAACAACCAACTTGAAATTTTGAGAAAGCACTTCAATTATCAAACCAAATGTGTCTAAAAACTTTGGAGTTCCTAGTATAGCTGAAAGCGTTCTTTAAGTTCTTACTTTATCGTGACGCCAACGGTAGTGTAAAAGAGGGAATGGCGTGCCACACCCTCTCTGATCAATGAAATTTTAAGAATCTTTCAGGAAATTTAAGTTTGACCCATATCTATATGCTCTGAAATTTGTGTGCAATTCTAATACGAATTACGTGTAGTCAGTGTAATAAGCGCCAAGCGCGAGCACAGAACTTTTTTTCTCCGATTTCGATAAACTTGGTACCAAAATTTGTCTAAAAATGTGAATAAAACAAATCCACCGTGTAGCAATTTTCGCTAAAAATGCTACACGGCGCTTGTTCGCCGCGCGTGCTTTTTTCGCGCAAATTTTTAGTTTTTGGCCTATAACTTTCACGTTTTCCGTTATTATCACATAATTATTATGGCATCGTAATCAGCTCATCGAGACGAAACTTTTAGTTACTAATATTTTAAGATTTAAAGGAAAATTATTTTCAAAATTTTTCAATCTTAACACAAAATTTTTGAAAAATTTGGTGCTTCAAATATTATAATTTTGGTACCAAAAGTTGCGTCTGACTAAGCTCATTACGATACTGTAATAATTATTTCAAAATATTCAATATTTCAGGAGTTATAGGCATTTTAAGCAATAAATGATGTTGCAGCTGTCGGATTGTATGCACCCTTTGTCGGATTGTATGCACCCTTTGAAAGAACATTCTTTGACATTAGGGTCACACATCCTAACTGTGACACAAACACATTTAAGACGCTAGATAAGATCTATAAAGATCACGAGAAAGAAAAGAAAGATTTGTATGAAGAGAGAGTACTTCAGTCAGAGAAAGGATCCTTTGTCCCTCTAGTCTTCACAACCTCTGGAGGTATGGGACCCCTATGCACTGTATTTGTAGATCGTGTCTCTGAGATGATAGCTGACCATAAAAAAGAAGCCAAGAGCCAAGTCAAAAATCATATCAGAACACGATTCAGATTTGATCTGTTAAGAAGTACACTCATTGCACTAAGAGGAATCAGAGGAAGATCAACGGCCCAGCATCTTGAACTGCATGACATCTCCTTCAACCTCATCCCCCAGAAGACGAGCTTTGAGGTCTCCTAGATTTGTTTATGTAAATTTTGATATTTTACTGTACTATTTTATGTTGTATATAATTTTACGGACGAAATGATCCCAGGGGGGACTCCCAACCCACCGCTTCGGCGGGTAGTTGACGCACCTTTCACAAGCAAGAGCCACTTTGGTCTACTTGCTGTGAGGTGTCTCAGCTACATGGGTTGGGGGTCCCCCCCTTTTTTTTTTTTTTTTTTTTTTTTTTTTTTTTTAAGCAATAAATTACCCATTTTTCGTCCTTTGTACATTCTTGTAATGCACAGGAGGCCCACATTACATATAGCTCGACGTTATTTTGCTACACGGTGAATTTGCATTATTCACACTTAGAGGCAACTTTTGGTACCAAATTTATCAAAATCAGAGACAAAAAATTCTGTGCCAACTCATGGCGCTTATTACATAGACTAGTGAGTTATCGAAGGGTTGCGTGTGGGCAGTTACTTCTGGGCCACCCTGTAATTAGATCATTTTCCTCTTTTCTTCTCGTTAAAAAGGTTCAATAAAAATTGAGGTCGCTCACCGTTTGATTCGTCTAGATTTAACCAATTTTTATCCATAATCCCGAAAATTGCCATCTTTCAGGTATAAATGGCCATTTCGAGCACTTTGCGTTCGTTCGAAGGTTCAAACTTCAATGTACCTCCAGCCAAAACTATTTCACACGTAAATTTTGCATGATCTGCAAATTCGACAAATCAGATCCCCTTCCTCCATTAGAACCTGAACACCTGTGTTCATTTGAAGGCATACGTTTTATTTTGTAATAATACAAATTATAATTATGCAGTGTGTGCAGTATGCAGTAGAGGGTTTTGCACTTATCTAAGAGTCCAAAGCAGACTCCTATGAAAAGTGAGTAAAATATGTCACAGTGCATCGCAACTGGTATTAGAAGATTTCATTCAAAACAATCAATAACTCGTATGTTGTACATGAATGCAACGACAACGCTCCTTAAAAGCCCTTTTAAAAGTCTAGACAAAGGGTAAATAAGAAATAAGTCGTGACTGTTGGATTCCCTTGGGATGCTTTCTGGCAATCCTCCCCATTTACAAGGTTTGTAAATTTTCTTTTGTGTGGAATTATAATTTTGACTCCACTAGTCGCATGTTATCCCTGATTGTTGCAGGAAGGGATCTACAAATTTCACTTGTTCAGCTCTCTTCCGGAGTAAACACCGCGCGGCTCTGAATGCTTAAAGCCGCGCAAAATTTACTTTTCTGATGCTATCACGATTTTACTCTAATAAATGAAAGGTACGCGATTTTCTATCAGAAGACCCTTTTTTGTGGCAATTTTTGTTTTTGAGTACTAAAATTAACATCAATTCCCAAAAATGACCGACAACAACTCCTCGTCGACAAATAAACTGAGTTTCGACAAAATATCAAATAGAGCTGCCTATGTTAATAAAAGATTCGCAATCTTCTTGTCTGTTTGTCTCTGTGAAGATAAATTGCCGAGAATGATATCAGGTCTTCTGACCAAAATACTAGCATGTGGTTTTCTAAGATATAGCCAAAAAGGTTCAGACACCAAATCTATTACTTAATCAACATTGTTTTTGCACAAAATTCCACTCAACATCTGGCGTCGTCTGATTGTTTTAAAACTTAACAATAACCTCACTAAGTTATCTATCTCTTTCTCATCCCCAACTTTCGGTCCTATAAATAATAAAGCCCTGAAACTCTAACTCAAACCTTTTAACCTAATTATTGGCGGCGAGTTATAAAATTAAGAAGAGTTCGAGTCCATTAACGTATTTGACATACAACAAGAGCATTTAAACCTCTTAACATTTGCTGACTATGTTTTCACTTCGGAACTTGAAACCCGGGAAAAGCGGCAGATTTGGGCTCCAGCATGTCACAATATAAATAAATCACTCCAGCAAGTCCATCAAACAGCTTCATATCTTTTTCGTAGTTCTTAGCTACATCTCTCTGACTCATGGACCACTCGGTAAAATGTACAGCTTTGCTTAACCAAGTTGGGTCGTCCGTCCGTTGGTACATGTCCAGAAAAGTATAAGCATTACCAAGTGTACCGTGACACAAACCGTGTCCCTTTCTGAGTAGACCTCTCTGCCAGATTGGAGTAGCACATCTTATAGCCTCCTGTAGGTATGTTCCTCCTGGTATTTGGTCATGAGTTTCAGTGAGAAGTGGAACAAAGCCGGGCGAGCCGTGACACCACTGAACCAGCTGATCTAGCTGAGAAGAAAGAGAAGATCTCAAGTTGTTAGAAGGGTAACGCTGAGAGAGCAGGTAGTTTACTGAGCTGGCTATAGTGGTGGTCAGCTCTTGAGGGGAGACAGTGTTGGATTGTAGGAGAGTGTAAAGAATGCCAGCTAGCCCGTGTGCTGCACCAAGGTAGTGTTTGTCGTGCCAAGTGTAGAGTAATGTAGCGCCCGAACAGCACTTAGCTTCCTCCTTGCCTACTGCCACTATATGTGCTGCAACTCTGGCTATCAGCTTAGAGTCTATACTCTCTGGCAGGTACTTTTTAGTGAAGAGTAAAGCAAACAAGTAGCCCGCACACCCATACATCAGCTCCTGGGACATGAGCCTGTCAGTCAGAGCTAACTCACTGAGAGTCTGTAACCCCTGGGTACAGTGCCGCGCTACAGCGCTGTTATCGCACAGTGTGTAAAGCACAGCACCCAGCGCTAACACGCCCCCGTCCCCGCACAGGAAGGTTAGTCTGCGGCCGTTCAGCTTGTTAAGTGGCTGAGTAATGAGCTCCAGAGCGCGATCAAGCGCCTGTCTGCGCTTTGTAGGGTTATTTGTGTAGAGAGTCTCAGATAAACGCAGATACAGCAGAGCAAGTCCACTTGTGCCACTGTAGATACTGTAGTCACCTTTCTTAAACCCGCCATTCTTCAGTCCAGTCTCCAGTCTCACCATCCCCTCCTCTACACGCTTCACTATATTGTCGCGCCACGCGCCACTAGCAGCTCCGTTAGTGTAGTACGCTGTCAGGTCTATAGTGCATGTGGTGGTGCCGTGTTGAAAACATCGTGTCCAAGCTACTTCGCTCATCTTTATCGCCTAGGAGAATAGACTAGGTTAATAATGTGCAGCTAATACTTGCAATATATATATATATATATTGCTCATATAGGAGATAAATTTAACCACTGTTAATTAAACTACATGTGTCCGTTTACAAAAAGGGGCAACAATAATGGTGGGCACCTTATAGTTTTAATAAGTTTAATTTAGCCAAGATAACGTCCACTAAGTTTCAGTACGATCTTATTTCCGGAAATGTTTTCAGAGTTCCACAATATATACTAAGCTAAGTAACACTATATGAGTTATTACCGATTGTAGTGGCAGTACTGTATGTGTGTTTTAGGAGAGAACAGTTTATTTGTTGTGGACAAGGTGGTCGAGGTTACCGACACACATTGTACTAATCATTGAACAGATTGTAGACGGTAGAGCTATAAATAGATTGTTTTTGCATGGTTGTGCAGGATTACGCTACCAAACGAGGTGACGTGATTACTACATCTGGAGTTTCCTGTTTAACAAGTCTTTGAAGGAAGTGATTATCTGACTGGAAACACGACTTTTGCTACGCTAATTATAGAGAGTAGTAATACTCGGTTGATCTCAAGGGTGCGTGGGTTGTTGGCAAGCCTTCTGGCATAGCTTTAAGCACAACTGTGGTCTTGCCGGTGAATAGCCGGTTAATGTATCCAATAGTAATAGCTAATAAAGCTGGCATATAAAATCCATAAGATCACAAATAAGATGGCTACCGAATAAAAACACAAAATGTAACCAATCTTACACACCAAACTTCAACAAATAAGTACCCGACGCAATATTAATATATACTGAATATTATCGCGAGAATTTGCTGGAGGAATGCCAGGTATTTGACCAGTAAAATGTAATTCAATACTGAGTGTGCAGAGTGGACCCATGCTAATAAACAGTAAAAGAGAAGATAAAGTTCACAACGTTATTAAACTTGCACAACGAATTAATATTAACACAATTCTACACAGCACTCTGTGATACTAACTGGACACAGCGCCTTTAGTGGAGAGATTTGCTTGCCAGAATATAGTAGATGATGTACAAAGGAAAAAATGATGCTGTGGCGCTGTGATAAGCAAAATAGAGCCGAGTCTTTAAACTTTAAAATTTTAAACTAATGATAATATTACCAGGAGTATTGTAAAGCCAATTAGCTGTAAGATGTGAGACGCGCTAAGTGAGACGCGCTAAGTGAGACGCGCTAAGTGAGGCAGCTGTCAACATTTGTCTGTGTAAAATACAAGTGAATTAAAGCTGTCGACTGTCAAAATATTCACGAAGTAAGCGGGTCCAGAATTTATCGAGAATTTTGCACAACGATGCGATGAACAATTTTATAAAACGATAGCAGTTTGCATGTGACCTTCCTTTTACTTCCTACAATAATTCTAGAATATCCAGAATCAGATCGACCTAATACATGTTCGTTTACATGTGCGATTAATTCATATCTATCTTGACAGATTACAATTAGCTATAATATATAAAGAATAGTTTTTCGGTTAAGTTTCAGTACGTGTACATTGTACTGCACTGTACGTGTTGTTTTTTAATAAATTGGAGCTAATTTTAGAAGCAACCTGATATCGTCAGTATTTATCAATATACGCCAAATTTTAAACATCCATAAATATTATAAGAACATAACCGAGGGTAAGTTCCATTTTACCCGTGATAGCAATTCTGGGAATCGATAATACGATACTACAGGCTGACTCGTTGTTAACCACTGTCACGCATCAAGATTCAAGATAAACATGTTTTATCGTGGCCCATCCCCGCAACTGCCCACTTTTATGAACTTAAGAAAAGCAGTTCCACTTTGAACATTTTTAAACTATATAATCAAAAAATGTGTACAAGGAAGAAAACAGTTTAGGTGTACAATATACATTCAGTTCCTTACCATAGGCCTAAACAATAAAAGGTTAATTTCAATGTAAAAATACTGTAAAATAAAAATGATAAGAGTCATCTCATGTCTTACTTAGAGCAGGGTAACAACAAGTACTACAAACTATTAACTTACAAGTTGTCACATTATAAGCCATGTCAATAAGATGGACTCTCTCAACGATTAAGAACGACTAAAAGAACTCGGTGTGAGAGCAAACAGACTGTGTAGGGGGTAGTGGTGGTTGCTAAGTAACCGTTATGTGGCCTGCCTGATTAGTTACCTCACGTTACTCATGTCACGTTACTCACAGTCACGTTACTCATGTCACACCATAGTCCATATACTGCAATCAGCTTATTAGTAGGAGGTGAATCCAAGACCCCCATTGTTACAAGTTCTGAGTTAACGGTAATTACTTGCCACTCAACAAAATGGGAATTTACCCTCTCTATCTGTGAGTTAGTAAAAATATTCCAAATGATGCTGTGAATCAGATAAAGGAAAGGTGAAAATTAGAGTGGTTCATTTTACCAAAAGTTGTTCAAATAATTAGAAATCATATCTTATTAGTTGCTCTATAGGATCAGGAACGACCAAAAAATTTTTTTTGACTCTAGTGTTCCGGATATGGTCCGCACATGCCACGCCCATTTTTATAGCGTTTCTTATACAGGTAAAATTGTCTAAATCGTCAATTTAGTCATGAAGGAGTATGGAAGGAGTTCTGAATGTGTGCTCCTCTAATATAAACAGTAGAAAATGGTTAACTTTAGTCGAGGTCTCAGGTCTCTACAATGTCGGGAAGTTCCTGCAGGAGTTTGCGCATTGCGCTGAAGCGCGGGATTCACTGCGCCAAAAGCGAACGTCGTAGAGACATGAGACCTTGACTAAAGTTAACCATTTCATACCATTACTATAGGAGTGTGACACTTTCAGAGTCCTGAACACATTCTTATATCACTTAATCGTCAATTATATTAATTTTACCTGTTAAAATATATCATCTTTAACTGATATCAATTTAGTTTAACACTGTTAGCTTTTAAATAGGAAATAATTTACTTCACACCAAACTAACACACAATATGAGAGTATACAAAAAGGAGGCTTTCTTGGAGACTACCTGGACCGAGCATCAAAATAGTACACATTGCTGCAGTCATTGTCGAGACTCAAAAATGAGAGGGTCTAGTTGTGGGATTATACTGGATAACAGATATGATGAGTGGTAACATCCTACAAAAGAATGTTAGCTTACTAAGTAATTTTCCTCTTAGCGAATCCTACGAGAACTTAACTAAGTTCCTCCTAGTCCTAAGCATTATCTTGTTTCAGAGGGACTGAGTCATTTTAAAAGATGAAGCCAAAGAAGAGATTCATCTGTTCCGTTCATAGCCGATAGTTGTGAAGAAGGCATTTGCACTCAGTAATTTGTAAGCAAATTTTTTCGATATTTATAGTTATTTACTGACCTTGACGAATCAGCAAGATATCACTGGACCTCGTTAGTCGTTAGTCATGTTATGCTGATCCAGTTAGTTACGAGCTATCAAGTAATCATTCGATCTCATTAATACTGATCCTATCAATGACGAGCTATGAAGGAATCAGTGGATCTCGTCAATACTCATCCTGTCAGTGACGAGTTATGAAGAAATCAACGAAGACCTCATTAATTTCCTTGTTCCACGAAGATATTCAATTCCTCTGGTAACCAAACCCCTTCTGGCCTACTTCTGAACATATGAAGATTCGAAAACCAAGTCTACCTAAATCTGAACTTTCTGACTGCGTTGGAGAGTGGAGAACAATCGAGAAATGATAACCAGTCTCAGGATATAATCAAAGTTCAATTTGGAATCTTTTTGTATTTTTTTATGCTGTGTGTAAGTTTGGTGTGAAGCATTATTTTCTTTTCTAAAGCTAACAGTGTTAAACTAAATTGATATCAGTTAAAGATGATATATTTTAACAGGTAAAATTAATATAATTGACGATTAAGTGATATAAGAATGTGTTCAGGACTCTGAAAGTGTCACACTCCTATAGTAATGGTATGAAATGGTTAACTTTAGTCAAGGTCTCATGTCTCTACGACGTTCACTTTTGGCGCAGTGAATCCCGCGCTTCAGCGCAATGCGCAAACTCCTGCAGGAACTTCCCGACATTGTAGAGACCTGAGACCTCGACTAAAGTTAACCATTTTCTACTGTTTATATTAGAGGAGCACACATTCAGAACTCCTTCCATACTCCTTCATGACTAAATTGACGATTTAGACAATTTTACCTGTATAAGAAACGCTATAAAAATGGGCGTGGCATGTGCGGACCATATCCGGAACACTAGAGTCAAAAAAAATTTTTTGGTCGTTCCTGATCCTATAGAGCAACTAATAAGATATGATTTCTAATTATTTGAACAACTTTTGGTAAAATGAACCACTCTAGTGAAAATTGAAATATGACTCCGTAATCCATCCATTATTAACGGATTGTACCAAGGTTCCAAAATCTATGTTCCATTGCCGAAAACTAGGATATCATTTCGGATATTTTTGTAACGTTCATCAAAAAACGAGACAATCTATATAAAATCTTCTGGCACATAATCAACATTATCTTATTTTATACCGTGGGTAAATTAAAATGTGGTGTTTTAAAATAAAAGATTCCCGGCAAGGGTCCCAGAATATCATTAACATATTAAACATTCCTTACTTTTGATAATATGATTAAATAAAAGCAGGGAACTTTAAAAACCTGGTATTAAGGCGAGAGTTTTCAAGAGTAACACTCAGTCTCCAGCTCATATAGTAGTATTTGTACTTCTTCCTTTATCTTATCACACTCTCCGTTCATTAGCTGCTTATTCTGCTCCAATAGTTCCTGGTTTTATTGAAATATTTGGATCAGAGTGCTAATATTGGGGGCCGAGAGGGGGGGGGGGGGGGGCGGGGGGGGAGACCCTATATTAGAGTCTTGGTATCTTGATACATGTACTAAGTTGGGACCATCAGTAGAATGGGAGGATATAATTGTAAGGAAAATAAGTCACTTGATACATATAGACGATTCGTAACGGCAATCATCAAATGCCAGATTACGCTTAAAGTAGATTATCTACCTTTTGACTGGCAAGACTTTGATTAATGGCTGGAAAATCTTTGAAAATCAAACATTCTTTGAGATCTGATATAAGAGTTAGCAGAGATTGCCCAGCTTTGATAATATTCGTACAACGAACGTTCGCCTGCCGAATACATAAATTAATACTATTAAATACATAAATTAATACTATCAAATACATAAATTAATACTATTAAATACATAAATTAATACTATCAAATACATAAACTAATACTATCAAAGAAAAACACAAAATAAAAATCACAAAATTTTGCCCGATAAGCACTAAGCAGTATTTAAAATATATAAGTTAGTTTTATAACTTTGTCTGAAAGTAAACCTCGTAATTGTCCTGGAAAGCCTGATTGGTGCTTGAAAGTCTGGAATCGTCCTCAACCTTGAGAGATTTAACAATAGCAGTGTAGTTAGATATCATGGCGTTAGTGGACTCTGTTAAGCGCCTTGCGTACGCCTCATGGACCTCTTTAGTGGAGTTAACACGGGACGAGGGCAACATTCCTTTCAGTGCACCTTGTAAATGTGAGGCTGGTATGAAAATATCAGTATCAAACTACAAAGTGCAGTTGTGACAGATCTGATAGATTTTACGTAGCTCCCATTTTACCTGCACCCCCCGGAGCAACAAGTCACTGTCAGGGTTAGCAGTGAACAACTATTCATGTTTAATTCATATAAGTTTCGCTCGCTTCTCATTTTAACAAACTTTATTATCGAACAGAAAATTTTCCTCACCAAATTTCTACCGGAGACAAAATGCTCTTTTTTAACCATCGATCAGGTTTGGATTTGTGTTGCCACAGAAATGGTTATATATAACTTAGGTCGACATGATATTTGACAGGCTCAAACAAGACTATTAAGATGTAAATGTTAACTGTCCATGTCAGATGTTATGTAATTGACAATATCCTCGTTAGTGAGTTAGAAAGCAGTGAAACGCTAATATTAATCTATAATATGTTATGGTATAACAACAGTTAAGTTGTAGCCGGACCAACAGTTCGATTGTTGCCCTAATTCACATTCAATAAATAAACCATAAATCTATATAACTCGGTCGTTTCAATTGAATCAACTGACAGTTTCATCGACTTTTAAGGTTTAGTTTTCGAAAATAAATTCATAGCTCTTCAAGAAAGTTTTACATGATAACTCCAGCTCAGCCCATAGTATGGCGTTGGTAAAGCACATTATGACGCAGCCTATCTCAGTAAGTATCAGGAAGAAAAGAGTTTCTGAAGAAAAGAATCAATAACAAACCAACGTAGTAGCAAACAAGAAGTTAAAATCAAAATTCGCTTCCTTAATAATTTGGTCAGTCTGCCAACTATAAACTGACGTTAAACCATCTATTAATAGTTTCATATAATTGGGTATATATTGGCTCGTAATGAGCCATGCTTATTACGAGTCAAACCTGTCAGAAGCTTGGAAACCGAACAACAGTTTTAAGAGTCGAAAATTTGTTCATACTCAATATCTCATGATATAAACTGTACAAAACTGAAATTTTAATTTCATAATTACAGCTGATACAACTTGAGTCCTAGTGTGGCTACGTCATAATGCACTGTTCCGCCGCCTTTCACACAAAGTGACATGTTTTAAGAGAAATCCTCAATTCCGTATTCTATATATTTCTAGAAGGATATGATGGTAGATATTTCTTTCGGATTATAAATCATTCAAAAAAAAGTGAGAACAGTTCCGCCATAAGGATTAAAATTAAGCTGTACGTGGTTTCAGAGGGGACACACATGTGATCTAGCCAAAGGAAGGACAAAATTAGTAGACCGTACAGTGACCAGGGGAGGGGTAGTTACAATTTCCCCTGGTCATTTGAGTAGGTTAACAAAACACCACAACGTTAAAAACATAAATTTGGATTTAAATCATCAAAATCTTAAAAAGTGTTTTGGATATGAAATTTTAAAATGTAACTCAACTGATTATTATATATGCAGAAATTAAAAACTATCATATATTGTAATCTCGCTCTATCAAAGTTGTTTGATACAGTATAAAAGGAAGCAAGACACCCTAGCCTGAGAAGACCTACTCTGGCTTCATCACCCTGACTGAAAGAAAGAATTCGAGCTGAATACATCCTAGTGAAGTTTCTTCACCTTATGAGTAAGCTTCAAGTTTTCCGTTTTCTCGTTCTCTTCGAACTGCTAGAAGCTGCGGCTGATTCTGTTTTTTTCTGTTGAGTTGGCGTGCTGTAAGGTGGTGTTTTCTTGACCTTGACACTTGTTTTGTCCTTGAATTCCTTAGCAAGATCCAGTATTTTAGGTTTATGAGTGTTTAAAAGTTTATCAATTGTAGTCATAGTTTGCTTTAGCTGAGTAACGTTGGATTGACAGCAATGGCTTATGTTCTGCAGTAGATCCGATATAGAATCATTTCCTGCTCTGGCCCCAGAGCCCTTGTCTTCTATTTCCAATGATATGTTACAAAAGTAATCCTTGTATTCACAAAGCTTACTCTTAGTGTCCCGCTGAACTTGGGAAATGTCTTCCAGTTGAGCTTTGAGATGCAAGAGTTGCCAACCCTGTGAGGCGATCTCAGCAATAGTAGGAATGGGCTCACACAGGTTCTTCTTCTTTTTCACTTTTATATCAGAGTGCCTTTCAAAATGATTGAAGAGTCGTGATGGGCATTTACTAGATGGCGGTAACAATGACATCCTCTTGCGAGGGGGAAAGAGGGACATATAATCCTCATCAGTCTGTTCTTGTACAACAGTAGTGGGCTGAGCAACATAGCTCGTAGAGGCTCCAACACCTTCCATTCTAGATGACTGGGGCACATTACTAGCAAAAACATCTTCGTGAGCAACGACAGCTTGTTTTCGGGGCTTCTTCCGAGGAGAATCTGCAAAAAGGTAGGGGTCACTGTTTGGAGGCTTCATTTTTGCGTGTTTTGCGTTAGCCCCTTTTTCTTTGAGACTGTAAACACTTGGATCACCATGAGAATAAGAGGGAGCCTGACCATTGTCCTTGTGATCCTCAGAATTAGGTCTCTCTGAGGGTTTGGATAGTTTCCTCAGAATTGGAGGACGATGTGCTTGGTTGAGAGGAGTGGTAAGATAGCCAATATTGCTGTTGTTTATGTCTCTGGGATTAATGACAATTGGGACAGATGAGTTCTGAGCTGAGTTTTGGTGATAAGGATAGAACTGGCTGGCTAGGCTCGACTGGTCAATGTAAATACCAGGGTGATTTTGTAGGGACTGCGGAATTTGTATGATTGAGTTAGTCCCATTTGCTGGCTGTTGACTTGTTATTTGAGCCATCCTATAGACTTGTTCATTGGAACTGGGACCGTGCCAAACCATTCTAGTAGCCCCTTGCTCCTCTTTGAAAACAACATTCCTGCGAGTATTGACAGGATTCTGAATAGCCGAAACACGATTGAAGGCTGAAGATCTGGTAGCAGGTACAGTGAAGGCAGAAATAGATGGGTCGTGGGCAACAACCTTTGTTGAAAACAATCCGGGAGGCGGGAATCTGCTGAAAATAGTCTTCTTTAGTCTACTAGCGATAACACAGGTTGACTCCCAAAACCAAATGTTGAATTTATTAAAGCTTAAAATATGAAGAAAGTACAGCTCGAGGAAGAACAGTCGTACAAAATATGACAGCTTAAACTTTATTTTAGTTAATTATAGTTATCCATGTTATCATATTATGTCACTTATTAGAGCCACCGAAATCAGTTTGGATCCTATGTTATATTATACATATTGAACTTCAATAAACACGAGTCCAATACAAAATACCGTAATGATAATCAAATACATTTTTTTCTAAAATTTAAAATAACTGAATAATTCTTGAATAATAGATATATTTAAATGCCCACCTGTTATTGGAGTAAATAGCACTCTGCGGTTTACCAGAAGGAATTGACATTAGTTTTGAGGAATTCGGTCGCTGACTGCCAACTTGAGGAGAAAAGACAATGGGAGACTTCATAGCACGCACGACAACTGGATCAGTCTCTCTCTGATCAGTGCGGTAATGTCGGCCTGCTGGCTGCATCACATTTTCTAAACAGGGTGGAAATGATTAGATAAATCTTAATACAGATCATGGACAATATATAAATAGGAAAATAATAAGTGAATAATAATTTATCATTAATGGTCCAGGCCCGTGTGAACTTGGCCACATTTTTCGGCCATCTTAGTTAAAGCATTTCTGAAGCTGTGAATAGCTGCTCTCTTTTGACTTGTAATTTATTGAACATTTTAAAGTTTCAAATGGTTTCAAATTCATTCTAGATCAAGCATTATATATAGATCCAAAAGTGTAAATTTTAAATTGTCCCACGGATTCTGAGAATCTCATCCTGTCAAAAACGTAGCACGCCTCCAAAAGCAATCTAGTGTAAGTTATTCTGTTGCTCAATTTAATCAAAACTGTGCCCCTGGCCTTGATCATTATTAAATCAAGAACTAAGTTAAGCTACAACATTTTAACTTATAAAGTCAAAGACACGAAACATATATAATACAGCTAATAATTTGAGAGTTAATCATTGAAGCAAATGTTTTGTTCTTTAAGAGGAAGCAATCGAATAATACAATTTTAATTAGGCAAGTTGGCAATCATACACAATTACCCAGGTGAATTTCTTGTTTCAATAAGGAAACGCAGTGTGCTGAAAGTGTCAACATTAATAAAATTAGAGTGGAAACAAATGAATGACAGTCTATTTACAAAATTCAACCACCAAAAGAATGGGTTAGCTTACAAGAATGAATTTTTATCATAAAAATGAACCTATAGACATAAGCAAAAATCATTAATCGTCTAACCTACTATGCAACAAATCTGGCCTACAATCGTCTGGCCTACTATGCAACAAATACTTACTTCAACAAATAAAAATCAAAGCCTAACATATGTAGCGTCAATCTGTTTAATGTTTGGTAAATAGAGTTGAATTTTTTTTCTATACATAGTATCTTCATAAATAGGATTACGCTCAAGATAAACAGTTTCGATCTCTTTTAGCTTCTCAATTTTCGTCAGTTCCTCAAATGATTTTATACTGTTGTCATTCATCCAAAGTTCGGACAAACTAGCAAGATGAGAGAGGTTATCAAGGTACTCAATTTTGTTGTGTGAGAGGTCTACAGTACTCAGATCAAGGTTGCTGTCGAGATTTTCTATCTGAGAGATACCATTGTGACTAAGATAAAGTTCGTCTAACTCAGTGTTGCTTTCTAAATTCTCCAACTTTGCAATGCGATTAGCTTGAATGTCCAGGCATCTCAAATGAGTCAATGTTTCCAGTCCTTGGATCTTAGTAATCTTATTTTTGCCCAAAAAGAGTTTTTCTAGATTGACAAGTTTTTCTAAGTTTTCAATTTCTCTGATCTTGTTGGCACCAAGTTCTAAGTACTTCAGATTGACAAGAGTTGAAATACCCTTGATCTCTGATATTGAATTTTGGGCAAAGTAGAGATGAGTAAGATTTACGAGATTCTCTAATGTGGCAATATGGGAGATAATATTGTAGCTTAAATCAAGCTCAATCAGCTTAGTCAAATGTCCAATGTTTTCAATGGTATGAATCTGATTATCATTGAAATCTAATTCCTCTACATTGACACAGTTTTCCAAATTCTTGATCTCTGAGATTTGATTTCTTCGAAAAACCAATCGCTCAGCATTTACACATTTAGTCAAATCAGGAACATCAGCTAATTTTTTGTGAATTATCTCTATGACAGCTGAATCTTGATCAATCACAATCTCTTCAACTTCTTCACCATTATCTGTGGCCATCACTGCCTATATTAAAATTGAAATGAATACATCAAATGAATTTGAATATAATTCTAATCAGTAAGTTAAACCCATGCAACAAATCGATAACGAATGAAATAATTCAGAACACAATCACAGAAAAATACATGAGTCACAAGTAAAAGGAATACAAACCTGGCTGTAGATTTATAATTGCTTGCAACTCTCCATTCAAAATTAGTGAAACAACACATTTTGTTTAACATATATATTCCAATTTCAATCCCCTCCCTGTGATAGTAGCAGAAAGATTGGGGAATGTTAGAGAAGATATAAGGTTACACTTTCTTATTTACTGATTTAACATATATATTCCAATTTCGATCCCCCCCCCCCTGTGATAGTAGCAGAAAGATTGGGGAATGTTAGAGAAGATATAAGGTTACACTTTCCCATTTACTGATTTACTGCTACCCAATTTAGGGGACGTTCACTTATTACGTGATCAGCTAAGGGGGGAGGGGGGTTTTCAAATCATTACGCTAGCGTAATTTTGACACAATAGCTCTAACTATGTGTAAGACTGATTACGTAGGGGGGAGGGGGGGGTTAAAAATCGTCCAAAAAGTGACTATGTAATATTTGAACGACCCCTTACAGCAAACCCGATTTATTGCAGCTAGCAAAATTTACTGTACAAGGACTATTAAAACTGCATAGGTCGGTCTAAAAACACTTTTTAAAGTAATTTCACTACACCAAAAGGGGGCACTATTATATAGAGCGCATAAAATAGATTTTGAATACGTACATAACTTATAATAGCTGAAGACACATGTAATTTAAAGCGACAACGTGTTAATCGTATGTTACTGTCAATGCTCGTGTAACTGGTATTATGTTGCTACTTATACTGGACTGATGCTCCTTAAAAAGTGTATTGAAGAAGACCCCTAACCATAATATAAAATATTTGGTATAGTAGCATGTTCATAGTACACTACTATGTAAATTGTAGATGCACTCGTATCCTAGAAAGATTCACAATCTTTCGACAGGGCCCTCATCATTTAATTTTTATTTAAGTTCCCATCATTCGGATAGGTCAACAGAAGAGACATTACGAAAAGGTGTAACTTTCTACCCACTATGTGGACGCTCTAATTACTTAACCACCTAGCCCAGGTTTTAGTTTGAAATTATATTGAACTCCTGTATCCCTTTTAAGGTGTCTAGCTTTCAAAAGATCGGTGCATAAATAAACTATTAATGCATGGATCAATAAACTATGAGTAAGAATTTTGGTTTACTACCAAGACACCAAAAGGTTTATTCATAGAAGAATACAAATTTTTTTACATTTACTTATTTTTTGTGCTCTGCCAATTGCAACACTTAAAATTTGATTGTGCTCTGCATATTGCATCACTTGATTTAATTGAATGTATATATACTGTTTGACACACTTTTTAGTATTTAAAATATGTATTATGGATGAACAGTTTCAGAAGATACTATTGACAATGTCGATTGGTAAAATCTAATCGAAATAAATTCAAACAATATACACATAATATAACAATGACCCTATATAAAAATTCAATATAAAAATTCAATAAAAATCTTAGAAAATTTCATAAAAACCCTTTGTAGTAGTAGTCAATGTAGCCAATTCAATTTGTTGACTCTAAATTAATATCTAAATCTGAAGAATACAAATTTGATTTAAACTGTAAAGTTACTAATTACATTTACAAACATATTTATTTCTATGAAAAAGTTCAAGTTGGAGAACTTCATCGCGCCGCGCAAACTAGCATTCTTGCTTCGCATCGATCGTTGCTATGCTTTGCAAAGCAATGATCTCGATCGGTTGACATCGTCAATCAAGGTTTAAGTAGCTTGCTCAATAAACGTATTGAACTTGCTGAGTTTATAGCTCACTTCTCTTACATATATGATAAAGCCTTGGTTGAGGGTGCCAACCCTTCTATATCGTAGTTTTACATTTCGAAGCGAAGCAAGCATGATAATGCGTGAGGCGCGTCAAAACGGTTATTTCCTCCAAATGCCAAATTAAATATATTTATTGATAATTCAAAATATTCTAACTTAGCTTGCTTGTCTATTGCTTGCTTATCTAAATAGAGAATAAGTCATTTAAGAAACGTAAGTTGTAAGTGAAATTAATGTGCACGGAGGGAATGACGCATATTACATATATGTGCCATGGTAAAATTCAAATTAAAAATGTAAAATTACGTACTATACTAAAAAACTACAACGCTGCATAAATTACAAAATTAAATATTATTTTGTAACAATTTAAATTAGCAAAAATACAATTTAAATCACCAGCAACATGTTTTAAAACACGAGCTTAGAAGTAAAACTCGCGCGCAGTTATTTTTGTAAATTTAGCTAGGCTGTGCGAAGTATTATTTCGGCTAATTGTTGGTGATTGCTTTATTTATCAGTCATTTGTTGCTCTATCCAGAGCCCTTGCGCTTGCAGTAGCGCGCGCCCGCCTCACGGCGGTAAAAAGGGCTCTAGCCATGAACCCACCCAACGATTTTGGCACCACTGTACAGTGGTGCCAAAATTTCCCGCGCTTTTGTCCTCATATGCAACGTGTGTAGCCTTTCAAACATTGATTGCATAAACGAGGTGTCGTACGTCACCTAAAGATCAGGTGACAGGGGGCTGACCATGCCCAAACCTAATTGATCATTGATTGGGTCTGAGGTCACCTAATTATGAGTCTATGAGGTCACGTGACTATGACGTCACCAGCCCTTGCCCTACGGATGATAATTAATCACTCTACACTCGACTGTCACGTGACGAAAACGCCGTGATTTCATTGGTTAACCTGATAACGCGCCGCAGATCTCTATAAACACAAATTATTCATCGCGCGTGCAGTAAACTCAAATTAAGTCCTAATTTGTTACCGAAATTTGGCAACTATCAACATCATGGCACAATAAAGTCGCATGCCCAGTAAATTGCTAATCAAATGTACGGCACTAATAATACAGTCTACACTTACAGTGTATGAATTCATGAACGAATTTATTAAGGCAGATTGGCAGAACAACGATCGTAAATGATAATTTGTATTAACAGTGGAAAGTGTTCTTAAGGGAGACTGTTGTGCAGCCATGCCGGGAGTTATAAAACACCGAACACGACATTAAAAACACTTTCCAACTACAAAACTGAGCACAAAACCAGCTCCCAGTACTATCTACATTAAAAACACTTTCCAACTACAAAACTTAACCACAAAACCAGCTCTGAGCACTATTTCTAGGTTATGAGACGGCTAAATGATGCGAATAATAAATCCTCAGATCTCCCAGTACTCTACATTAAAAACACTTTCCAACTACAAAACTTAACCACAAAACCAGCTCTGAGCACTATATCTAGGTTATGAGACGGCTAAATGATGCGAATAATAAATCCTCAGAGCTCCCAGTACTCTACATTAAAACCACTTTCCAACTACAAAACTTAACCACAAAACCAGCTCTGAGCACTATTTCTAGGTTCTGAAACGACTAAATGATGCCAATTATAAATCCTCAGAGCTCCCAGTACTCTACATTAAAAACACTTTCCACCTACAAAACTTAACCACAAAACCAGCTCTGAGCACTATTTCTAGGTTATGAGACGGCTAAATGATGCCAATTATAAATCCTCAGAGCTCCCAGTACTCTACATTAAAAACACTTTCCAACTACAAAACTTAACCACAAAACCAGCTCTGAGCACTATTTCTAGGTTATGAGACGGCTAAATGATGCCAATTATAAATCCTCAGAGCTCCCAGTACTCTACATTAAAAACACTTTCCAACTACAAAACTTAACCACAAAACCAGCTCTGAGCACTATTTCTAGGTTATGAGACGGCTAAATGATGCGAATATTAAATTATCAGAGCTCCCAGTACTCTACATTAAAAACACTTTCCAACTACAAAACTTAACCACAAAACCAGCTCTGAGCACTATTTCTAGGTTATGAGACGACTAAATGATGCCAATTATAAATCCTCAGAGCTCCCAGTACTCTACATTAAAACCACTTTCCAACTACAAAACTTAACTACAAAACCAGCTCTGAGCACTATTTCTAGGTTCTGAAACGACTAAATGATGCCAATTATAAATCCTCAGAGCTCCCAGTACTCTACATTAAAAACACTTTCCAACTACAAAACTTAACCACAAAACCAGCTCTGAGCACTATTTCTAGGTTATGAGACGGCTAAATGATGCCAATTATAAATCCTCAGAGCTCCCAGTACTCTACATTAAAAACACTTTCCAACTACAAAACTTAACCACAAAACCAGCTCTGAGCACTATTTCTAGGTTATGAGACGGCTAAATGATGCGAATAATAAATCCTCAGAGCTCCCAGTACTCTACATTAAAAACACTTTCCAACTACAAAACTTAACCACAAAACCAGCTCTGAGCACTATTTCTAGGTTATGAGACGGCTAAATGATGCGAATAATAAATCCTCAGAGCTCCCACTCTACATTAAAAACGCTTTTCAACTACAAAACTTAACCACAAAGCCAGCTTTGAGCACTATTTCTAGGTTCTAAAACGACAAAACGATGCGAATTATAAATCTCCCACTGCGTAAGCCGGTAAACTAATTAACCGGCTAAAAAAGCTGAGACGGCTATTATGTATTATCGTAACGACATGATCACGGCTGTTAAATGGCTATTAGTTGACTGTTCATAACAGCTGCTCTATATTTGTGCGCTCTATCATAAGGTTGTTTCAGAGCTGCTAAACTCCGGCTAATATAACAAGCTTTTTAATATAGCCATTTAAGAAGGAAAAATACTTAGCACTTTACAACCAACAATCACTCATGTTTTAAACCTTTATAGCGAGTCGGCATATTACAATTTTACCGAAGTCAATTATTTTTACTTGAAAAGTATAAGAGTTAAGACTGCAGAATCTTTAGTATTATAAGTATAAAAAGCAGAAAAACACGCCACATGAGGTCTCAAAATATAGATAACAGTAAGAT